TGGGGATCCGAGTGGTGGGTCGTTTCGCAGTTGTTCGGGTCGGACGCCGGGGGTCGGTGTGATGAAAGCGGTCGGGCCCTTGACATCAAACACAGGCGTCGTCTTCTAAACTCGAGTCGTCGTATGTGCCGTTTTTATTGTTGCTTTTTTTATTGTGCGCACAACCTTCAATTCGGTGAAGTCCGTGCTGGGTTCACTGCTTCTGATGTAGATCGCCTCTCGGAGCGACAAGTAGTGAGTGAGGTATGCAAGGTAGCAATTAGTGACGTGCCTTTAATGAGGTGAAGAGCAACGTCCAGGCGATAGACGGGAAAGTGCTTTGATGGACAGTTAGCGATTTCCTTGACCTGGACCAAGTCCCGTGCATCACTCGTCAGAATCATTTCGGCCTATGGGCATTTGTGTTCGCCAATAATCGCAAGAAAATGTACTCTGGTCCAAAAATACACCTTCTGTTTGATGTCACAGGCTGTTATTGTACAACAAATTGAATCACTGCACAGCAGTTGACAACTTTGTTGCTAAGGCCCTCTTTCATGAATAAGTTCAAATTGAATTCGATCCTAAATCAGTTCATTTGGTGTGTGAGCAGATCTGTCAAGGACTAAACTTACGTCTTGATAACAGTTCTATTGTTAGTCAACTTAAAGTCACACTCAAGAAAATTTTTGCGATTTCGTAATCGATTTGTTCAAATACAGTGTCAGCTGTTTTCCAACTTGGCTGTCATCAGGAATAAGAAAGCAGTGAGTACACCAACAGAACGCATGTTTTAATATAAAAGCAATGACTTTTGATTTGAAAATGCAACTTGCATTCCAGACTCTGCCGTTGCCCATGGTGAGTTTGTTCACCACTTTGCGTCTGAAATTGCTTTTGCGAAAAACTTTGAGTTACGTAAATTCGTTCATGTAAACTTCCACACGTATGTTCGAATTTATGTCTTACTGTGGCTCTTGAAATATGTCGCTTCGCTAGCAGTCTTTGGAGTTGACCACGGCGCTTTATCTGACCACCGTTTATAAATTGTAAGGGACGCGGTGAAGTGGGAATGGAGGGTTGGAAAATAATGATTACGACGTTCACAGTCTCGCATCTTGTGAAGCTCAATTTAAGGTGTGGGGTGTAGAATAACACAGGACTCAACTAATTTGACATATCGTCAAATGTTTTGATAAATGATGAGGTGTATAATGGCTGAATTGCGCCGGGCCTTTTTCATCAAAGTCTTGTTAATTTCGGCATGAATAACCTCTGAGAAATGTGCTGCAACACATTACGGATGAGTTTGAGGTTTAGTGAATATATTCCGCCGATGGGGCTGTTCACGCGATCCAATATCACAAAACGAAAAGTCTTAAGTGAACTTAGTTTTTCAGTAGAATGTCGGACGCAGTTTGCCATTTACCAATCGCGGATTGTACCGCCATCCTGCAAAATTATCAACTGGGTGATATGACTGGACTAGGCGAAATTTCACAAATGTCGAGATTATGGTGGATTGTGTCCGCCGTTTGTGGTCACGGATAGTCTTCTGCAAGGTCTTTAATGTGGGCCTTGAGCGACTTTAGTAAATTATCTGCTCTACATTAAAAAAATTCTTCTTGAAACGCAATCATATTTATGCTGTTGAATTTTTTAAAATAAATTTGCAGCTTCTGTTCTTTGAGGCACTTTATAACCATTCTTGTTCTTTAATTTTGGCGGTTTTGTCCCATTTAGGGCTTACTTTAATTATCCTTTTAAGTTTTAATTTAGATAAATGGATTAAATTAAATTACGAGAAATTAAATCGACCACTTTTAATTCCTTTTTCTTGTTAAAAGAAGGAGTTGTTTGGATGCCAGTGTCTGTCACTGCAACAAACCCACTTTAACTCCTTGCTTGACTGAATTACAGTAGTATGAAGAGTTAACCCCTATACCGATTAAGTTTTTATTTGTGTCGTCGTTGCACGGATGAGATACCCTTTCCATCTCACCTCCGTTTTTTTGCTGCGTTATTTGGTAATGTAATATATTCTCTATTATTTTTGACGACTAAAATTTAACTTCTTTTCATGCATTTTTGTTATAACTTATTGTGACAGTAAGAGAAGTATCATGGCTTGTAAATGTCATGACTTGTGAACTAAGGTTTGCTAATCCGTCCCTGGCATTCACAATTTGACACGACATTATAGCTGATTATCTCCTTTTCATTGGATAGCAGCTCGAAGAACAGCACGTGAACTTTATAGGATTAATAAATATAACTTTTAATGCGGGATTAAACGCTGACATCAATATACGGTATTTTCTTGTGAATAAGCGAAGTCGGTGAGTGCTTTTTTATCCGACTTGAATTTGGAAACCTTCACTTATTCTGGAAACCAAATTCGATAGTTGGTGTGACTTGAATTTGTCCATCGTACTTTTTCTTAATGTTAATGAGTGTTCTAAATTAATTCAGCGATTACGATTTCTTAATTATTTAAATTAAAAGGTGTACAAGGTATAAATCACCATCGTCAACTGAACAAAGACATAAAGGTCAGTATGGAATACAAATCAACAGGTAGGTCCCATCAACACACGGTTCATTTACTTATGTGTGGCTCATGCTCGCAATTATGAAAGAAAATTCACTAAGACAATGTGACAGGTCTAAACCTACAAATAAGTTTTAGTTAACTTAAATGTAAGTTTATTTTGTTGGCAATCACTGATTTTAAAGTTTTTTGCTCTGGAAGTGTTCTAACTTGCACTTTATGCAAACTTTCCAATTAAAAAATCCTAAAGCTGTGGGTTTAAGCCTTGCCTGTACATCTTATTAAAGTCGTATTGCAAACATGGGCTTGCGTATGCCCATAGAAGTACTTTTGCATTAGGAAGTGCTGATAAAGCGTGTCACGGATGCTGGACTGCTTAAAGTAATACACTACCGTTGGTAGGTTAGCAGGTAATTATATTCAAATATTGGTAGATTACAAGGGACTTTGAAACTCAAATGTGCAGAAGTAAAATGTCAGAAGGCGAACATTAGCCCCTAATCAAATCAACATGACTGTTGTGCATTTATCACTTTCTTTAGCTTAAGAAAACATGAATGCTTGATAATAAGAAAAATGTTTTACCGGCGTCAGGTGGTAAAATCCATCCATTTTGCCGTAATAACTTAAATTAAGTGTGGATTCATTGGGACTGAAAACAGGCTTTTTGTTTCCTGTCTAGTTTTGCTTTTTTCCTATTAAGCATGTTTAACCATGACTTAATTAATGTCTTGTACTCATGCACTAATGATCTGAATTCGTTAAACAAAATAACCGCTTATTTTAGAGGCTGTTTATCAACCTTAATGACAATGAGATTTCAATTAGCCAAAAAATCATTCTTTTGTGATGAGGTTTGTGTTTACACTTTTGAAGTGTATGCATGAACTACCTAATGATGTTTCCAAATATTTTTAAATAAAAGTAACGCAGGTCACTTGCCAATCCAGTCGCTCTAAGCCAGAATTATTTAAGAGGGAGCAAATACCTGAAATTTATTTTTGGCAAACTAAACAAGCAAAGTTTAAACTTAATATAAAGTTCTGACAAATTGTGAGCTAGTTTCTTCGAATTTTTTTGCCAAGCTCCTTTATTTAGTTATTATTTTTTGCGTTCTCAGAAAGTGTCTGCAGTATCTTTGAACTGCAAGAAAAGCTACCTCCGGTTGGAAAGGGTACATGGGCTCGTTTTTTCCCCTATGGGTTTTGGTATGAGTGGAAACAGTTGTCCACACTGGCGTTTCCCATCGTAAGTCCATCGTGATTTTGGTTTAGTGTTAGCCTTTGATAATTTGGAAATGCTGAAACATTTCCAAAGATGGGGCAAAATGCCATTAAAAAACATAAGTTAATGTAGGTAATTAGCTTAGCCTCAAAGTGATAAATTGAAAAGATTACACAAAACTTATTGTTTGTGATGACAACAGTTCGCCTGATATTTAACGCGGTAGCTGAGACCGAAGTTCCTTGATCATATTTTGCTTTACGAATCCAAAGCATAATAGGTGTCCCCCAGCATTAAATTGTCCTTTAGTTTAATTCAGCATTGACGTTAATGCCCTAGTTTTCTTAAATAGGTGTGATTACCCTAATTCCCACTCCATACTAAGAATCCCACCAGAGTTATGACGATTTGTCGGTAACTGTTGTAAGGAAAAATTCAACGGCTTAAAAAATTACAGGGAAGCGAGCAATGGCAGCCTCAACAGTGCCGAGTTTGCCAACGAGGTGAATTCAATTTTTGAAACGGGAAGTTGTCTAGCTTCTCTGCGTTAATTGATACTTCAAGGCCATGCGTCTATTTATAAGCCAATGTACCTAAATTGTAAATGGCGTTGTACTGCGTTCAGACTGTTGGTACAATCGGAACTTCTAAAATGAAGTCCACGAAGACTCCTTTTAATAAACCGGTTCACAGTTTACTCAATATCCTTTTCATGAATTTAAAAAAAAAGATAACAATATCCCTCTCCGAATTCTTATAACTCGTTAGGTTGTCAAAAAGTCTACTTCTTTAATTTAAACAAGGCTACGAGAGATACAAATGTATTCGTTAATTAGACGTTTGCATTTAATCATATTAAATTTAGTTTCTTAGGTAATCAACTCAAAGTAACCATGGAAACTAAGTGCACATTATGGCAATAATTGAAGGAAGTGACCTTTTATAATATCATTTTCTATTCTCAAAGATAAAACGAACTTTCGTCTTTACTACGTAGCAACCTGCTTATTTCTGCCCAGCAGTTGAAATTTTTTATAAGAGAAGTTAGATTTTGGAAAATCGGCTATTTATTAATAAGTTTTATATCACTTGAAAAGGCGCTATTGTGTATTTGCACAAGAATAAACAAAACCCTCAGATATTGTTCTGATCGTGGCCTCCACCACCGGTGGCCTAGTGATGCTAGTATCTTCTCGATTAATAACACACTCTTAATCTCAAATGTCACATTTTACAATTTTCTAGATGCTCACAAGTTTGATTAACTACCTCATTGCACCAGTCAGTCTTTTCTTCCTCGGTCAACTGGGAAAGACCGAATTGGCTGCGGGTGGTCTCGCGATAGCAATTTTTCACGTGGCAGGCGTTTCAATTGTTGTTGGACTCTTGAGCGCCAGTGAAACCTTCTTTTCACAGGTTGCCAGTTACTATCGACGACAGCACCCAATTCCATAACAAGCATATGCTTTCTTCTATATTGACTGAGATTAGCTAAAATGTTCCATAGTTTTGTTAGCTAAATGAAATTATTTTTGGAAGCTCCACCCACTAGCTTATTTAAGTTGCTTATTGTTAATGACTCTTGTCTAGGTCACCCATTTTTTACTTCAAATTATAATTTGCCGAATCTAGAGAATAGTAAAAAAACCAGAGACAATCGGAACTCATTGGTTCATTTCCCTCGTCGTACAGGCAGAAGTGATTCACTAATAGTGTATTAAAGAATATGCGTAAAAGTTATCACATGAAAATTAATGCGTGAAGCGTAGCGAATTGGCTGTACAGTCAAACATTGAAGGTAAACATCATTCACGTTTCACTGAATCAAGTATTTCCCAAAACAGAGGGAAGCGTTGAATCAACAAGTCAAGCAGATTACATCTGTAATCTCCTTTCGACATTCACCATGACGTTTGCCTTAAATGCATGACGCTGTCTACGCTGAAGAGCGTCATTTGAATTTAATGAACTCGCAACAAAATCATGACTCGGTCTTTTAAACATGCAAATGACCCTTAAAGTTTGATACGAATCCAAAAAAGACCTCCTAAAACACAACCACAATCCAACAAAGTTGAGCAGCTACTAGATGTACGTTCCGAGTGGTTTGAACTTCCCAAGGAGATACTTAACGCACGAATCACTTCTCCCTCCATAACGGACACACTTGGCAAACACAAAAAATAGAATAAAGTATTTTTATGGGATTCCGATAATTGCGTCTTGTCTTTCTTAGACTTTTGGAGGATCGAACAAATTCCGCCTCGGCATCCAAGTCCAAAGAGGTAAGAAAGTGTCTTAATTAGTCGAGTAGCCACTGTAGCCGAACAGCTTTGATAGCGGCTCATAAGCATCGTTTCTGATAATTTAAACACTCTTCATAATGTGTCCCTTTATGGTAACACTTGAAATAATTTCTTAAGTTTTGGAAACAAAAGCTGCGGAGAACTATAGTGATTTACAGTAAAATTAAATTTACCAGTAAAATAAATATCCGAAATCTGATCCGGATTCGCTAGTATTTTCAATGGCATTTCATCTTCTTTTATTCTTGGCGTGGTCCAAAATTCATTAATAGTGTAACTACTTAGGGTTTGTTTCTCACTGACTTGTAAAATATCCCTATAGGTCAACACTAACTACTTAAACTGATACTTTGATTGGGGTCTCACAAAATATGCTAAGGCTATTTGTATCAGAAATGTCTGCTGGTAGCTACCTAAATCCCATGCTTGCAACAAGCGCCCATGCACAACGTGCATACGAACTCGATATTGCGAGAGTCAGGCGTGTTATTGCATGGATCTGAGGGGGCTGTGCGTCGTTTTTTGACGAATCAGTAAATCACGTTAAGCCTTAAAATGTGCAATTATTCCATAAACGCTATTTCCTGCTAGTTACTGAACAATCTTGCCAATTTGCGGATCAGTATGCCTTTTTTAGTTTGCAGGATTAGTTTTAATGACATTTACCCCCTTTTTCCGAACACAAAATGTTGTTTGTATGTCGCTGTTAATGTCTTTCATGTCGCGAAAATTAATCGAGATTTGTATTAAAATATTTAGCCGCAGTAATCCTGCTCATTTGCTGCTTTCCATGCTGGGCAATCTACATTATAATCGAGCCGATTCTACTGGCGTCCAAACAACCACCGTTAGTTGCAAAGTAAGCCCGTCTTTTACCCACGTGTTTCTGCGACTAGTTAATTGTGGTATGGTTTAACAGCTAAAAAACTTAATAGCTTGCTTCTTAATAGACGTTTGTTTATTTTCTCCGCTTATTAGGCAAATGGACTTCAATACTTACTGGGGCAAAGTATCCTCAAGGAAGTACACAGATTTAAGAATAAACGTGTAATAATGCAAACTACATTCTTATAATTGTTGATTCAAAAGAGAAATGTCTAATTAATACCCCTTGTGTATAGGTGAAGCGAAAACAGGACTATTCCTTAAAAAAATATTACTGTGATGCATATAACCTTAGATCTTTTTATATAAATAAAAGTGACTTGGCAGTATTTTTATTTAGTCGTGTGACTTATGTACGAAACAGACTAACTTGCAATTTTTCGCTTTGCAGGTATACTGGAGACTACCTTCTGGGACTCATGCCTGCACTTCTGGCAAGTTGAGAAATTTACACCCTTTTACTAACTTTTACTTGTAGGGCATTTTAGTTTGTGAAGTTTCAACAAAATATGTCCAAGCACAGGTAAGCGAAGAGACATTTGTCTGCTTTGTAAATGCTGTTGTCATTTGTGATTGTATTTTAGAATAAAGTTTTCCCACCTCTGATTGCATCAATCATCGGGAACCTCGTCAATGCGGGCGCTCATTATGTTTTCATATATCACAGCAGCTTTGGCTTATTGTAAGTCCGAGGCATCTACATCATTCCTCTGTTTGCTTTTAAATAAACGTACTCATCTACAGAGATTGAACAAAGCAAATTGTTGGTGTGTATTAAGAACTGCAGCAACTACCACAGTCTCTCGTAGTGACGGCACTGCTGAGGCTCGACTCACAGCACTCGAACCATGACAACTTGCGTTATTTTTCGTTTTAACAGGACATCAGAGTTAGAAATGGTGCAGAAAAAAATATTTGCTACTTTTAACTCGATAGTTTACCAGATATTCCTCCGACCTTGCGGGAAAGAAGTACCCATTCAAGCTACCCCCTGCATTTATCCCAATCTTCTAGCGTAAACTGAAATGTCAAGCTGATATTTTATAAGCTTTCAGAAAATAAGTTCTGCTGAAGTCGTCCAAATTTGCAGAAGGCTTGACAGAAAATTATTTTACGAATTCAGGAAATTATGTATTGTAGCCAGAAATCACCACTGCATTATGTATAACTTTCCTTGAGTCCGAGGTCGTTACCACAGTCCAGCACGATTTTAACAATGCTATTAATATTCTGTTCCATAAAGCGATTTGTTAACATTAATTATGCATTTTCTTAGGTTTTTTTAAAGTGGCATTGATCGTAAATGTCTTTCACAATTATTATTATTATTATTAGAGGATCTGCACTTTCGCAGTCACTGGGTTACGTGATGCAGGCTGCGACAGTTATTGCTTACATCTTTATTTCAAGACTTTACCGAAAAACCTGGGATTGTGAGTACTATAAAGTGTTTTACTTCATTTTTTATAAAGCTAATCAAACTGACCATCGTAAAATTCAAGGTTTAATTCAAAAACTATGTTCAAGCTCAGGTGTTGCATACATTACCGTAGATTTTAGATGATGCTGTCTGGGTTTTTTGCAAAACAAACCTGAAACAGCAATTTTCAGGCGAGTAGTTCAGAATCCCTTTTAAAAGACCATTCAATCCTACCTCTAACAGACTATTGGGCAGTTTATTGAGTCATTATTTTTGCCTTTTTTGCAGCCGTTCACGTTGAGTTGTGGCATGACTGGGGTCTCTGGTTCCGTCTAGCAATACCTGGAATGTTGATGAGTGGCCTTGAGTGGTGGGTATGCGAGTCAGGCAGCCTGGTTTCAGGTACATCTTTGGTGCACTCTCTAGAAATGGTGATTCTTTGCAGATGGTTTTGTGTTTTCAGTTAATGCATTAAATTATTGAAAGTAAATTATGATAATTAAGAAAAACAACATGGTTAATGCCCATCCCTTGCACTAATTTACATGAGTTCGCGTCCTGCTTCTTAAGTTACACTGACATAGACGCAAAGTAAGTGATAAAAAATATTGTGAAAAAAAGTTGCTTTGCAAATTTAAAAAAAAATATTTGGATTCTCGTTAATGGCACGAAACGGAGATGGTTTGGTAGAAACGCGATTTCGTGTTGTCAGTTGTGACCCAAAGAGGTGATACTACTCAGTATTAGTTGACGCCTTTTTAGTGCTGTTGCGGATTGGTGCCGGTTAAGTTCACCACTTCCAATTCATTTGCTTGTTGAAAGCCGTTAACGTGTAGTAAATGCTTTTAACAAAAGTTCATGGTGGTGAAATCTCATCTAGAGTTTGCAATAGGGTTTTATGTGTCAGTTGATGTTGATAAGAGCCTTGACTTGTAACCCGAGTCCAACTAAATTACCCTAAACTTAATAGGTAAACCATAGTCGCTAGTATTTACCTACGTAACTTTTCTAAGGACTTCGTGGGGAACAAGCCTTGGCCGCACAAACTATTATTAACAATATTGAGTCCGTAATCTACTGCACAGTGAGTTTATGGATTTTCGAAGCATTTACTTTGTATCGCATATTTTTTTGAAATAAAATATGGATATTGCATGTGTGCTTGTGCATATTTTTCGACAAACTTAATCTATTTATGTGCATCTGAAATGTAAATAAAGAAAACTCTTTTTCAGAAGCTTAGAGACAACCGGTGGCTAGTTTTTTTGAGTTCCCGTTTAAAAGCAGATGTGTCGTTGAATTTTGTGGCAAAATCAAGGCTATAATAGTTTAGCAGCTTGAGTTGTTTAGTTTTTGTGGTGGCTAAATTTCACCTGAACATAAAAATTTAACGTAATCTGCCAACTTTTTTACGAGATGTCATCCCCAACTTAGTTACGTGCCTGGGCCGCACAAATTAACGGAAAGAAGTAATACTAATGGTTGGTCCAGCATTACCGAACTTGATGGATTTATGAGTAATACATTTCTGACCCTCCCCATCTTAAAGATGTGGTCATGCTCCAGGGTTCAACTCACGATTAGGCCATTGCATCAATTAAAGGTCGTATTTCCCAGAAGACCAAAGGAACAGGCCAAAGTGTCATCATCTCCCGAAAATGCGTTGACGTTTGGGCTCTGGATATGTTTAAATGTTAGCGTCCATTTGTGCTACGGCATTGGCACAACTTACCTGTTCATACTTAAAAGTATTAAGGGCCCAGCATGTTGTCTCAACTCATCATGTTGGCTCTATTACGGTTGTCATGGCTCGCGTTGATTCACACTCGTTAATCTGATTGCTCTCCAACACGCAGTCCCCTTTTCACAGCATGCCGTCAGTCAGGCGAAACCTCAACTCACACCTCGTTATCACGAACGAGCATCCGGGATTATCACTGCATATGATATCATTTACCTATATCGCGATGTCAGCACATTTATGACTCACGCTGTTTCACACTTCTGACATAAATTCACAAGCGCAAACACTGGCACACTAACCACGACTTGGTCGAGATCTCGAATAAACGGTTGTCTATCCCTCTCTCTTGCTGTCTCGGTCCTTGCTGCGTACCTTGTGTCATATGGCGCTTCAACACGCTTTACAGCTCAAGAACACCGCAGATGAGGGGATAAGTCATTGATTAGATGGCTTAAGCTAATTGTGTTGCATTCATGTTGCGAATAACTTAATGGCCAGATGAGTGTGGCGGCCGGAGGGAATACGTAAATGCATAGGGTTATAAAAGTAGACGGTTCTGTATAATTAAATGGCACGCTTTTGGGGTATGCGGCGGCTGAGTTGATGGACGCTAATCAACACGATTCACTACAAAAATGTACCTAAAATGGATTCCGTAAAGGATAAGTAGTACTGCTATCGACTGAAGAAATAATGAAAAATTTGTTAAATGTTCGTTTTTGCATACATTGACAACATCTTAATTTTAAGTACGTTTAAGGAAAAACCCATAGCCGATATGAATGACAATTAATTTTCTCCAGTTTCCTCTTGGATTTGGTATTGCTTCGACAATTCGAATTGGACAGTTCCTTGGGGCGAATAAAGCCGTGGGGCCAAGGTCGACGGCTCTTGTTGCCCTTGCCATGATTGGTACGTTGTTAAGTGCCACATCCAAGATTATTGTTACATTCGCTGCCCTCTCAAAGTGTTCCTTTTGTTTAATAAGCATTCACTACTGTCATCAATGCCTTTATTCTCACCTTCGCGAGGTACCAAATTCCACGAATATTTACCAATGATAGGTAAGTCCCGTGTTGATTTAAACACAATACGTTTTACTACGCATTGGACTACTGAAAGTCCATTATATAAAAAAAGATGTCTACTTGTCCTATTTCAGTTGGAAATGTCTCGTTTAATCTACCTGCCGGCCTTGAGCTCTGTTCCTACTTTTAAATGGTGAATGCGTAGATGGTGTTTTGGTGTCAGGTCGAATTTAAACACAGGTAGCTCAATAATTGTTCGCAATTAGGGGTTCGTTAAAAATGAGCAATGAGTCTGCAGAGTCTTCGACCTTCTTCCTAGTTTGTGGAACAAAACATACGTTTGATTGTTAAAGTCTTTACAAACAACACGTTAGGTGGTTTGTTTGCACACTAGTTTTTCCAGGTCAATACCTTTATCAAACTTCAGAGGATAGACGTAACTCCTATCTCTTATGTTGCATAACAAGGCTGAGTGTGGTTCTGTGAAAATTACCTACACAAACATAATAAACATGTTCACGTCTGCGGTAGACAACCAGTATTCATCGCACGCAACCGCCTCTAGAATTGGGCTTAGAAATGTGCATATAATTTAAGTGGCAAATAGATAATTGAGCAAAATAATTTTGGCCGACACAAAAACTGGTAGAGAAACCGATTTTAATATCTCCAAATTACTGTTAAGCAGTCAGCAGAGAGAGTCATTGCAATCCCAAAGATGCGTGTTATGCTCACTTTCCCAGACTTAAATGTAAAGTCTATGCGATATCGGTGCGGGGGTGTCTGGCGCGATTAGAGGTTGCAATTTTGCTTCTTTGTAGATTTGTCTTATTCAAAATAAAATAACACTCAGAAATCCATGGTATTTAGTCTACATAAGGTGTCAAGGGTTAATAGAAAGTTTAGGTCAGCTTGAAAACTTACGCCAAATTTTCAGACTATGATTCGAAGGCGATGAAAACTCTAAGTGAATTTTGTTCCTACGTACCGTTACTAAACTTTAACCTAATTACTCCCGAAATGAAGTAGTGGAGGAGGCAGCAACCATATTCGTTGATTCAGCTTTAGTGTTACTAACAACTAGTTGTGCTAAATGCTTAATCTTTTCAAATTGACTGTCGTCTACTGACAACGTCTACGTTGAGTCCACTCAAAGAGGTTAAGGGCCCAAGGTCTATTAGCAACCAAGACATGTTAAATGTTTGTGCTTACTAAGGACCAATATTTTAGCTAGGAATCTTGAGTTCTTGCAGTATAGCATCAACTTTATTGCACCTTTGATGAGCGGGCAAAGGACAGCGTAGTGAAACACTGCCAATTTATATTTTGGCAAAATCAACGGCGGTATTTTTAGTAGACTTCGCCTGTTTTGTTCGCAAATTAAAAATACGGTACTGAGTGCTACAAAGTGAAAGGTGGCCACGTATGAGAATCAAGATTGTTTCTAATTTTCGTGTAATTTTAGAGGGGTAATCGAAATGGTAGGTCAAAGTCTGTTCTCTATCGTGGCGTTTCAGTTCGTGGACTCAATCGTGGTAAGCGTTCAGGAAAAAATTTTCAACGTTTTCTTTATTTATTAAACTACTTGTATGATGTGACTAAGTACCCTGGTCGGTCCTGTAAAAAAGACCAGATATAACGGTAAAATTTCAGCATGATGATGAATAACATTAAATGTGACTTTATTGCAGGACGTGGATTCAAAGAATTCAAATGATAATATATTTTATTTCAGTCACATATACGCTTACATGGACCGCATTTTTATAGCTATCTATGTATGGTAGTATCGGCGCAAACAGTTCAACGAGAGGACAAAAAAAGTTATCTCAGATTATTCTTCCATTTTTTGGAAATTAGCATGATGGTTAACGCAATTAGCCAGAAATAAATTCGACTGTTTTTCGTTGTGTCGATTTAAAAAAAGGCGACAAATGCCTGGAGCAACTAGTTTAAAAATATTTACTCCCGATATATCACGTAGCCCTAGGCGAATATGGAAATGTAATAAAATATTATTCCTAAAGTATCATATTTTCGAGAGCCACTTAATAAATTTTGCTGTGTGGGAGTCAGCTAATTCCGCATTTCGCTCCCACAGGGCGTCGCCTCGGGAATCATTCGTGGCGTCGGGATGCAGCAGGTCGGTGCCATCGTCTGCGGAGTTTGCATGTACCTAGTTGGTGGACCAATTGGTCTCTGCCTCCTACTACTGACTGATCTTAGCGTAGCTGGTAAGTTTTGGCCAAGAGTCTGAACATGTGTCTCTGTAGTTGAAAGGCAAAACTGCGGTCTACGTGACATCGTAAGGCGTATTAAGCGTTTTATATCTAACAACACGAGGTAGGAGTTAAAATAATGCCGGAGAGTTCTTAGTTGTCTGATATCTCATAAAATTCATGTCGGAAGCTTTTCATTCAAGCTAAAATTCTATGTGTCTTCCAAAAAAATGCCTGAGAGTAAATGGGTACGATGATGCTAATTTAGAATAAACACAATTCCCCTGTCTGACACGTACACGCAATGCAACCACACTTTCCTTGTATTCTTTTATAGGATTTTGGTGGGGTTTAACGGCAGGCATGGGCTTGGAGTCAATCATTTACGTCATTCTAATCCTGAAAATTGACTGGAACGACATGTGCACAAAGGTGGGTGCATTGTTAAACTGCGTGATTATAATGGCAAGCGTAAATAGCAGGTGTTACACCTTTCCGTGTGTCGTTTTGAACGATGCTGTTTTACCACTGAGACTTCAATGGAGCTTCTCTAACCTCAAGTCAGGTGTCTTGAACTTGGTCGAGGTCATGTGATTTATTTTTATAAACAGTGCATGTAAGTGGAAAGAGACTGAATTTAGTGTGCAAACTAATCTTTTTACTGATTTGGTCTCGTCTCTATAGAACAAACTCTTCAGGCATCTACAACATTTTATAATTTGATTTTGTCTTGCACATAACGTCAATAATGATTAAATCCGCTCTTTGTTATAGGCAGCAAAGCGGACAGAAATAAAATTTGTTCATGCAGTGCCCGGCCAAAGAGAAATAGAAATAAAAGGTCTGTTTCCTATTTTTCAGTTTATAAAACAAAAGACATCAATCGTGGCAAAAAAAGCAATAGATCACTTTACTGTGGTAACTCTAATACACTGCGACCCATTTTGTTCTCATCCATTTGCGCTAAAGCTCATACAGGTGTTTTCGAAAACAAAAGTAGAAAATGTGGTCGTACATGCCTAATGTCAGGCAAGGTCTTAGCGCTCTATACTCTTACTGAAGCTCACTTGTAACCCAAGCTAGGCCTGATCGCCTGGTCCCTTTAGTCAAGTGCTTGCCCTGTGCGCTCGATTTGCAATAACATGATATCTCACTCCACTTTGTGCGTTGCATTGGATGCTCATTAACTTATGTTATCGTTTTTAGAGTATATGACTGAATATAGATGAGTCTTTGTTATTTTGTGTTAGGACGCATTAGATCTCTACGGGTGCATTGTGATAATGTAACCACAGTTTATATCAAGTGGCATTCTGTAAAATGTTTGATTTTCTTGTAGTGCCTAAAATGTGTTTCAAGTAGAAGTATTCTTACGTAGAAAATTTCTGAAATGCACTTACTTGAAAATGCTTACAAAATGAAACTCTCTATAAAGAATCGAATTAGTGTTTAGCCGCAGAAATATGATTTTTGCATTTTCAGATGATGATGTACGCGAAGACGTCTTACCAGAAACCAGTGACTTCCACGAAGAAAGGGTTGAGGCATGTACACCAGTTATCATATTTACACGGGCAACCATGATTTCGGTCTCTTTCTTAATGCTCGTTATTGCCCTCTTATGCCGATTCCTTTTTAACTGGAAAGCGTATTTCCCGACCTACTGCCTTCTTGGAAATGGAACCGTCATTCAAGTACCCCTTGTAGATGACAAATTAAATGCATTTTGGAATGGAACGTCTTGCGTTCGGATAATACCCTGAGAGCCATTACTATCCAGCCAGACCAGGGACTTATTCACAGTTGCTAGTTCTTCTACTTCCTTGCTTAATAGTTAACCATGCACATGAAATCTCCACAACAGCAATCGTATAAATTTCAATAAATACACACATTTGCTGCACACCTATTGCGTTTTAAAATGGAACGAAAGCAATAGAAAGTAAGTAAACGCAAAAAACGAGTTACAATTAATGTACCCAAATGCTAGCAAATTGTGATTACTCCCAAGAACTTATAACTTCTGAGAAATAAGACAACACATTTTGTACTAACCACTGTAATTATAGTAACAGATATTCGGTGGCAAATATTTGCTAAAGTTACTCAAGTTAAGCAAGACCGAGCACTAAAGACATAAACTGGTGTTTCTACGCCACGATAATGATTGGGATTCGAGTTAGTTGTAAAAATTTAATGCAGCACAGTAAGAATGGGCAGCCGTTTGTTTTTTTCCGAGTTAAAAAAGGCCATAGAGACACAAACTGAATAAAAATATAGTTACATTAGGAGACATTGGAGAAAAATGAACCCTATTATGTACTATGTTGTCAATTAAAGATTGTTCACCACCATTTTATATGCGAATCGAAGTTTGACACATTGCATTGCAAATAGGAAGAGTCCCTTTTGTGGCGTGGCCGACCGTCGTCAACATGGACGGAACTAATAACTGAGTCATCCAATCACCGATTGCTGCCAATGAGGACCAAAACGGCTACATGTGACGTGCTGGCTACTTTCCTGCAAATCTAGTCTGTGTGTCTGCCAATACCCCGGTTTAAGTAATGACATGCAAGGCCTTGTCCCTTTTGGTAGTTTTTTAGGAATTCAGTTGACGGCAAAAGAGTTGCAGGAAATCTTGACACTTTGCATCTTTGGTGTGTTCCTTTCCTACCACCCGTTGCTGCTGCGATAAATTCGTAAACTACGGTTTTATTTTATCAAGGATCGCAGGAAGTTCGTGATTTTGTTTATCGAAACAAACATATTGCTTTCTCATTTGAACAATCATTGTTTCAGTAGACTCGCCGGAGATTCTGATCAACGAATGTGGCCAAAATAATAATTTGGCAAATGATACTGAGTTATGAAAAAAAAGAGTTGTGTTCAATAAAGTGGGTAACCAACCTACCCAATTTAGGCATCAAGGCAATAAATGTTGATATTTAATAGGCTCATCACATCCCTAAATTACGCATTGGAGAATCTTATCAAACATAATAGCTGGTGCCCAAAACTACTCTTGGATAAGACTAAAGCCAGCTGAGGCAACCTAGTTGATACCAATGTAGTGCGATGCGCGATTCTAAGCTTTATCTCCCCGATTCACACATAAATTAGACATAGTTCTTCAGATGTCTGAGGAGTGATAAAGTGAGCCACAAAAAGACACATTGCAGAAGTCAGATTTTCAAATGCTGCAATTTAATGGAGCTTTGTTCTTTCACCTGCAACCACTCATGTGTCTTGGCGGTTGATTTGTGTGAATGTCTCATCAAGATGCGGCTATCTGTAAAGTGACACCCCACGGGGGCAGCTCTGATTGAGAAGAAAAATGATCGATAGTTAGGCCCTTTTGCACACATGAGGCTAGCTACGTAACACGAACCACCATGTTATGTTTACTCTTCGAAGGAATTTTTTCATGGCAAGTATATTATAACCTTAAAATGCCCATATGGCATGCCATTTGACTCATATGCTTAACTTTTCCGATTCGAATTTATGACCTGAGTTAAGATATCAACATGACTGTTAATTTACTAAGGTAGTTAAACTTGTAGCGGATTAATGGCGATCGCACCTGAGTGAATCCTGGTTACGGACCTGATGGTGACAATGACTCATCACCTTTTCATTGGTTACTGTCAGATGCCTGTCATCCGTTCACGCATCCGCACACTAAGACACACTTGGTTGGCGTTACGCTAATAAACGGTCGTGTCCCCTGTCGCCTCTTTTCCCACTCTTCGCGGGTTGTTTCGCGACTGCACGGGAGAAAGTTGACTGAAATGCTGTTTTCCGATCAGAAGTTTACAGCAATAGGGTCACTCATTGTTAACAGAGAAGAGAGTTGTGGAAAATTGGACGGAGACAGCCAATAAACGAAGTCAAAATTAAAGTGGTTTCATCACGTTGGGATCAGGTCAGGGTCACCAAATGTAGTGGCTAGAGTTTAGCACTACTTTACAATCCTCTGGTTAACAGACCAAGTGTGTCTTAGTGTGTGGATGCGTGAACTGATGACAGGCATCTGACAACAGTAACCAATGCAAAGGTGATGAGTCATTGTCACCGTCAGGTCAGTAACCAGGGTTCACTCAAGCGCGATCGCTGTTAATCCGCTACAAACTGAAAGTTGCAAAATTGGAATGTTAATTTAAATTGCTACAGGTACGGTCGGTTCAAACTCCTGAGCTGATGTCTTTACTTAACCTTCACATTTCAGCTTACATAAGATAAATTTCAAAAAAATATCGGCTAGGACATTACACCGTATGCTGGTTTAAGACAGACTGACCATTGCGAAAATATTGTTTCCGACACAATGATCTGTATATTTTTTGATAATTTTTAAGATAGGCGAAGAGCATCTTAAGTTAGTAATAATGGTTTATTTGTAAAATTTCCGTTTAACGCACAGTGGAAACTGACAACAACGCAATAGGATGATGAATTGAGCTCTTTCCGTTAAATCAACTGACACGTGATTGAAACTGTTCGCCGATTTCAGTCTCCAGACGATAGGGTCACAACGGGTGCAATAAAATTTTGCATGTAGCTAAAAGCGAACACCATTTTTTTTTCAGAAGACTATCGCTTGCCACCAACGACTGTCACTATTCACGGTAAATTCAGTGATGCCTACGTTTTTTGAAGTATTCTTTAAGTGATTGGTCTTATTTGTAATCTGCATGTAATGGATGGAAAAAAATTTGCAACCATTAACTGTTTGCTTTTCTATTTGTTTTATTTTATTGTAAAAAGGAATCCAGTGTCCTTTATAAGATTTATGTGTATCCTTGTTTAACACTAAAAATTTGCTTCTTAGCTGCTTCAACTTTAAGGTTTTTAAGTTTAAAAATCATTACATAAATCGCTCAGGATTGTGGTTTTCCGCCGGGAACAAATTATAATCAAGTAGATGAGCAATATTAAACTACATTTACACCTTGATTTACTAAAACGTAATCTGAGTTCACCAATTCTCTTCTGTTTTGCTTCGTACAAATAACCACACCAAGTAGCAAACTAAAAGGGCTTTCAAATACTATAAAAGGCCACGGTTGTTTAAAGCTTACACATTCTAATCCAAGCAAAAACATCTTGCATTTTGAAAAGTCATGACACATTTTACGGGAAGGAAGACACAACTGGTGGAAGACAAAATCACCTGTAAGAGAGTAGAATGATAATAGTGAGCCGCTGCTGTTGCTGTTTCAATAACAAACAAACTTACCCGGTAACACCTCACCAACCCTTTGTGTTATTACAAATACAAAAGAGCGTAATTCTCTGCAGGAGATATGAATTAAAGTATTATAATCAACCATTTTTGCTGTTTATTCTGGGCTAATATAAACATTTTCGAACCAGGATAGCACCATTTCAAATGAGGAAAAGCTAGTGCGACATTTGTGGTAGTGCTGCTCTCAGGATGCGTTTAGGCCGGTAGACAAATAGAATGTATGCCAATTTAATCATTAGCATTTTTCATCACGTCGATTGACACTGGTCGATGGAGGTTCGAGAACGAGGGAAGGCCATCTATGCGTTCAGGACGACGATATTCAGTATCGCTCAACTATGCTAGATTACTGGAAAGTTGTCTTTTTAGAGGCAAGACCAGCCTGGAGTCCGACAAGACGCGAACACTGGCTGGAGTTGCGAAACACTGTGTAAGGCCAGATTGACGAGTCGTAGCAATGTGTCAAATGATGTCCAATTACTGCTGTCTGGAAATGTAGGAAGAGGGCAGTGTGCCACAACGTGTGCTGATCGGGCCATTGCCTGTCTCCTTTTTCAAATAATTCCGAATCCATGAGGTTTAGCTCAGTAAGACGAGCCACTGAATGATATGCTGTGAAAAGCGGCTGCATTATATTACTTAACAAGGTCAGACTTTTCGTCAGAGGCACTGATAACCAACCTGGAGCTATGTTGCATACTCTTCAATTTTTTTCCTCGTCATTGGTCGCACAAAGCATCAAAGAAGATTGCGTGGACGTGTCTGAACGTTAGCGCTAGAAAAACAATAAAGGATTTCAGTCGATCCTTAGGGAGCTCTGTCAATGTCATAGCATTCACGATTGACGACTACGAGGTGGTCTACAAGTTGTCGTACCCATTTATTGGCGGTTTGAAACGCTGGTACCAAAGCCTGAACAGAGGGGAATGGTCCCGAATGTCCGTGTGAGTGTCTGAACGGGAGCACGAGGCTACAATACCTTTCCAGCTCCACTGATCCAATTTTTGAGAATCAGGAGGTGGATCTTCCAGACCTCGTCCTATAACTTGCCATCAGGTCAGTATAGACAAAACCACGTCACGTCGTTTTCTGGATCGAGAGCAAACGCGGCCGTGCAATTAATGATGCCACCGATGAGTTGTTTACTGGTTGGAGTAGTTGACGTGGGTACTTTTAGAATACCTGTTAATATTTTGGGCCACGTTTTCATTAATTGCCTCTAGCGACCTTATCAAAGCCTCAAACTCTCCTACCACTTTGAAAGTTAGCATTCCTGGGAAGTAGACATTGTTCAGAAAAGTAGAAAATCGCAAGTAGAATTTAACCTGAAATTACACGTGTCCTTCCCAACCCCCATTCTATCTGAGTATGTGCATCATTGTTGATCGAGGTCGTGAAACCGCCGTCAACCGCCCTGCGTGTCAGTGAGTTTAAAAGCGCACTTAACGGAAGTTAGCTGGTCCTGTTGACAATAATAAAGCCACATGAAAAGATAACCAATTTCAAAAAAAGAGTGGTGACCTCTTGATGTGCCTGCAAAGCTGCAATCAATTTACCAATCCTCCTAAGTAAAACTTCGGTAAATTTAAATCGTGAACCCGCACGAACCCATCAGCCCGATTATTATTATTATTTTTATAAAGCTATCGAGCGTTGAGAACATACCCTACCACCTACGAAATGTAGCTATTAATAAGTGGCATGTTCAAAACGAAACAACTCATAACCAAAAACAGTAGCCCAGGCAACAAATTCATGATTTCCCTAACTTACTCCAGCCCCCCTAAGACAAAGGCAAAAACTTCAGAGAAATTTTACCATAGCAGCCAACGTCCGAATAACTCGTCCAAATGCGTCCACGCACGCACGCCTTGGGAACCTTAACGTCAAATGAGACGGACGAGATGCCTAAACATTATCATACGCGTCAGCTTTTGTACTTTTATCGGACATCACCTTTTCTCTGGCCTTTTCACAATGCGTGTACTTTTAATTCTGCTGGCACTCAAGATGTCCCACGCCACACATAAGTGGGCCCATGGGAACGTACGCCCGGCCTCTGGCTGAGACACTACACGTTCGCTACACGTAGTCCTGCATTCGTGTGGGAGGCCGGTAGCGTGCTAACGTGGCACTTGACCAATCTGCACTCGGGGTTTTGCATCCGTGATAAGCCGCATCCCCACCCACTCACCAACGGTAAGTTGCGTTTGGAAAAAAGGCGCGAGGGAGTGCGATCTGCTAATTTATTGTCCACTCAGCACCATGCACAAGTGTCAAGTTGTCTGCTGGTCCGGACTTTTGGTGCCTTGCCACCACCACTTTCACAAGTCGCTTAACAGGGTTTAGTGTGAGGGAAATGCTAATCAATCGACAGCACGGTTAACACTTTCTAATGCAGCCCAGGGTGCGTCGAGCACAGCTAGGACAACTGACACGCACCTCCTTGAATTGAGAGTACCTGCTTCCCTGAAGTTGGCATCATGAACAATTATGAAGCGAAGGAGCTTCACTGACAGTCCTAACCGTCGAATCTTTGCATTCGACATAATTAGTTTTGCGTCGCCGTAGGATGGTGCCATACCATTTTGCATAGCACAAATTCATGCGATGGACAGTTCCTGATAGCTCCTCACACGAGACAAATAGCGTTATTAACAGATCTTGTCTATTGATTATTGAGCGTATGCACCTGCACAAAAATAAATAGAACTAATCTACGACGTTTATGTATACGAAAAATTTCTTTTAAAACCGCATGAATTAGAAGGCTAGATTTAGCGTTTCAAGTAAAAAATCCGTATGAAGCCATCAGAGCAATTTTGACGATTTTTGCGATTGCATGAAAGTTAATAAAAACTATGTATGATCAGATAAGAGGTATTATTACGAAAGTAAACTGCTTGATGTCATAAAACCGAAAAACTCTTTTGCGTCTCCGTAAATACACCATCTTTGCCAATGCTTTGATGCAACAACACTTAAATTTAAACGTCTATAAGATACTTTACCAAATAAAATGCGTTAATACATTCTGAATACGTAATTTGTGAGCAAACCTTCGCTGTATTCAGCCTCGGTGATTTACTGACACATTGAGTTAGGTTTGTGCACTTGCCACCCTGGCGACGGGATCTCGGGGCAATTAAGAACGCTGTTGTCAGCTTTAGTGAATAATTACTCGGGGTCAAATTATTTACCTTCTTTTCATGGTAAACTAAAATATTCTATTTACGCCTCCGTTTCGAACACTTTTTTTCCTTCGGCGAGCCATAATAATTCCTCAGGTATTTTCGTGCATTCCTACCAGACAACGGCAAGTAATGAACAGGAATGAAGGCCAGTCCGATTATTAAAGGTTTGTATTTACGCATGTTAAATTACCTTGCTTAGACATTGACCTGTCAAGCTTAAAAGGACACTGTCGGAAAATGAACATGCAATTATGGCAATTTGACAATTCCATTAGACTTGCGTTTTTCTTAAATATGCAACTGTACTTTACTATTAAACTAATTGGCATTTCCTGTGTTTCATAATTTGTGGTTGGATTTTTTTGGTTCGATAGTTTATTTAGCCAGGCATTCTACTTCCGCGTTTTGTCAATGAAGTCTTGATTGCAATATCATTTGGTCTGTTAAGGTTGGTTACAAAAACAGCTGATTTCTTTGATGGGTAATCCCGGATACTGAACCAAACCATATTTTTCTGTCCCCTAAAACGTGAACAATATAATATATTATGTTTGGGAATAGCATATCGAATTTCTGGCTTAAAATGAAAAAGACCTGACGAACAGGCTCATTTTCAACATATTAAGGGCTTTTTCCGGATGAGGGTTATTTAAATATGTTTTTTAAACGCAGCAGTCACACATGGGCTTCACTCCAAACAGGATCCCAAGCCAAATTCTGATTGTGCAACGCTTGGATAAGGACATAGATAAGAGTTTTACGATTGTGCAGGTTTTCTTGTGTAATTAATCATGTGCTGGTCTGCAAACAATAACTGCTACTGACTAATATAATAAAACCCTGCATATTGACGACCACACATGCCCGAAAGACATAGACTTTTATTGCCCCCTACCCTGGGAGAAGGAGAGGATGGAAAGAATCATACGCTCGTAGGTGATTGGTCGAAGGATAGCACGGGCAGCATTGCACGCAGCCAGCGCACATCCCCCTCCTGATACCAAGTATTCCAACAAGAAGACTGCTGCAAGAACAAAGCGCTGAAAGGAGAGAGTGTGAGAGAAGAATCCACACACATGGACATCTTGCGAGTGGCACGTCTGCACTCGTGAACCAATTGACACCACGGAAACAGGATATCGCGCGCGAATACACGCGTGGACGCAAATCAGCGATTGCGTGTCTGTGTGTGGATGTATGTGTTGTAAGAGAAGCGACTGAGGACCCCTCACGGTTAGTGGGGTAGGTGCGTGCGGCAGTGGTTGCGCCTTCTATTCCGTTGTTACTCCATCGCTTCTCTCACCATCTTGTCCGATTAATGGGAAATTCACCAGCACAGAGGCCACCCCGCCATTTGGATGCCAGTCTATGAAGAAGAATGGATCATTTGAGCCCGAAAACGTTCTGTGTACTGCTCCTTCTTTGTCTTCGCAAGCATTATGCAACTGCAGATAATGAAAAAACTCAACTTGAGCAATCGTCGCTATCAACAGGGGTTTGGATAAATAGGGGGCAGGTGTATCCGCGATGTTCGGCGCTACACTTCGAGAAGTTGCGATGTGCAAACTTCAGCCTCAGCCAGCGTCCTGTAACACGAAGCCGAGTGCTCCGACCCGATTGTGCCTTCCTCATGCATCGACTTATCTGCTCCCTGCACAAACTCAATTGTCCATCCCTCCCTAATGCCTCGTTCCAGGTACGTGTTTCTGACTTACTGCACACAAATAAGCCGTTTTCTACCAACCATTTCGGCGGAGCTTTAGCCACTTAAGAAACACGCAAATGGTCCATTTCTGAGAATCACTGAACGGTTGACATTCACTGTCACTTTTCGAGAAGCAGCTTACCAATAATATACTCTGGTCAAAATTTTTTGGATATATGCGTTTATTAAAAATTTACATCTTAGATAAGTTGGTTTAGGTTGCTGATTGAGAGTACCAAAACAAATATACCCAATTACTACAAATATTATTGACCCATAAAATTACTTTAAAATCCATCGAAATTTGAAACCTATTACTAGTTGACATTCTGATTAAGCTTGAACTATTTTAACAGAATTTTCGGCCCTGTGGTTAGCACTTGTGTTTGTTTCTTCTTAGTTAACTAAATAGTTATTGTGGACTTATTAAGGTTTGATCAAAGCTTCTTGGCACATTTTTTCATCCAATAGGCAAATTCTTCGGAATATGAGTTTGATTTGCAAAACTGATAAGAGTGTGACAAAAAAATGTAGACTTCATGAAGGATTTTCAGAGAGCAGGTGCAAACAGGAATCTAGAATTGAATGAGAATTTTAGACAGCAGTAGAAGTCAATGTTTTGTTTTAGAAATTTCTCATTTACTAAGGCATCCAAGTCATTCCTTAAAAAGCTCACACATACATATCAGTGTTCATGGAGGAATAGCAACTTTCAATCGACTATAAAGGCATTCTTGAAGAAAGAAATGATTATTTGCGGGAAACATCAGTCTGGGTTGAGACCTTTTTTAGAAATTAATATTGTCTTTCAGGCTAATGCAATATATCATTGGCTGCTGTGATTCGAATAGATATATGTCCTATGAATATGTTAACAAAAGTTTAAAATTGTTAACTCGCCACCTTTTGAGAGTTAATAAAATGCTGAACTGTCATATTGATATCACAGGACGTGCTAATTTGGCGCTTGGCATCTTATAGGTATGTCTAATGTACCTAGTTACCACCGAAGGCAATGTAAAAACGAAGTCTGATTCTTTAATTTCTTACCTTTTGTAATAACTAAAACTCCATTAGAAAACAGATTTATTTACAATTGACAAAGATCACTCTCAACAGGCTACATGTTCTTTATTATGATTCCTGACCAAGCGTTAACGTTTCTCACGCTTTTTCCGGCTGACGAGATTGGAAATAACTGCAGTCTAATTAAAGATCTGTATACGATTTGATTTACAAGGTATGTTTGGAATGATACTACACTACCACAACATCATTCGTAACGCATATTTAAAATATTTCTTTGTACTCGGTGTTTTCTAATTTTGGGAATAACTACAATAATTAGAACGCATTTGTCACGACAGCACGTGCAATAGCCCTACATCACGAGATTTTGTCTAAAATGTTTTACTGTCCCCCAAGCTAGGACATCTTTGCCGTTTTCTATTTTCTTTGCGAAAGCTCAAATTTCAATCAGTTACGCCACTGTAGAATGTTTGCTTAACCTCAATTTCGACGACGTTTTATTTTATTGAGTCTTGGAATAGTGCTGTAGTCAAAAATCAGAACAGAGAGGGCATCGAAACTCACTGTCACTACCGCGTTGTGCGTCTCTGGTGACCTCAGACCAGCTAAGAACAGTTAAGGAAGCCCCGTAGTACCTCCCCCCCCGATATGGAAAGAATCTAGACTTTAGATTATTCTAGATTTTAAACCAATACAAGTATAGAAGTTAGACACGGTCTTTTGGTGAATTCTGGGCTTTTTAAGTTGTTTTTGGTGCCATATTTGTGTTAATACAGATCGGCATGAATTCTATGTAATGGTGACTGCTTAACGAAAGCGTTCAGGCTAAGTGGCTAGTTAATTATATTATTGATGCACTGCAAATTATTTGTTTCAGTTACGCACTTGGGTAAATTTATCCTGCGAAGTCCAAGCTAAAGATGTGTTTGTGACTCAATACTCAGTCGAAATTTCCTCAATTGAGTTACGACAAGTCTAACTCCAAAGTAGACTTCCGAGGATTTTTTTGGAATCAAATCATTTTAATGCAAAATTCTGGTGAAAAGACATAGCGCATGGGTTAGTTAATTTACATTGCTTTGGAACAACTGGGAGGTTCCAATTTATTCTTTCAGGTATAATACGTCAACAGGCACCTGATAGTTGCCTAACACATGACATGTCTGCATGATCTAAATTTTTAACGTAGTCACTGATGCTCAACCTTCAAACAAACAGGACGTTAGGCAACGTTTAATTACCTATAATAACGTCCCATGGCTGGGATTTAACTTAAGGGAAGATGTGGCAAGTCAAATTCAACTATTTGCCATAATTTGCCAAATATTGCACACTTTTGAGAAGGCTTCTTTTACATTCGTAGCAATTAGTGACGGCTAGACACACCAAGCGCTGCCTTCGCACAATCTAAAAAGATAATCATTTGATCTCCCAAATGCTTAATTACGAAGCCAGCATCTCCTTTGTTGTTGCTTGCCTTAGGGCGTTTTACATGGCCCTCTCTGCCTTTGCATCGGTTTACAAATTAATTTCATTACCCATAGTTTGTGAATCTACCCATTGTGGTAAATTTACGCATATTGAAAACTTCATGAATATACAAGTAATTGGTTGTAACATCGCCAACAGGGGTGATTTTGAACTAGTAGAATTTGCTGCTCAGTCAGACTGCAGATTAAAGAAACACTCTTTGGGAAGAAAGTAAACTAGTTTAACCGTGTGCTTGAAAAAGGTGATTACCCCAAAAATGTGTGGTTGCATTAGTTAAAATATGTATGTCCAAAGTGTAAAATTGGTTGCCTTAAACCTGTTTTTCAGTGATGCTATACTTAAGTACTTGTCCATTTTGGCCGGTAATTTTAGATGTATGGTAGCAGTTGAGCTTAAGTTGCTCGTGGAGCCACAGTCCGGTAAATCATTGCACATTTGTTACGTTAAGTTGAAATGGGACCAGATCCGTCTGCACATGTACGAACGCACCACATTACATGCATAATGTGGCCACTTAATCAGTGAGTCACTAAAATTTCATTGACTTTTTCACAACTGAAAATGCCAAAAAACCAGGGTATACCCGGATCAATTTGATTTGCATTTTGTGCTGTAAGGGTGACACTTTTATTAGAGCCCCAATGTGCAAAAGAAATATGCCAAGGCGCTCATTAAACAAATATGAAATTGATTTATGACTCAACGTTCTATTTAATGTAGGTAGCTGGTAAATGGTCCATTTTAGTTTAAGTATTTTTGAGTGATTGAGGATAAGGTTAGCACAGAGCGGCCCTTAAAAGTCAAGCTGTCCCCGCCTTGGTAACGCTCGCTACGACGCCAACATGCGCGTCAGGGCTTTTGCCAAACCTCACATTCACACAAGAAGTACACGCATACGGAAACATCAAATGCAGACCCCATTGGTGATAATAAAATGGCACTGGGTTTATAGACGAAAGGTCCCGCCTACTAGAAAGCAATTTTTTGGATAAGGTCAAGCGCCCCAGCGATCAAACTCCTGATGATCCTTTTGGGGTAGAAGTGGTCAAAATTGTGAAATGAAGGAGTGGCAGCTGATTCTATCCTCTAAAAGGAGTAGAAATTTTTTAGAGCAGAGCGGTTTATATCCTTCACATTCCTCATCCCCATTAAATACTCAGGTTTCGTTAGTGCACAGTGTAGCTCTGAATAAGACGGTCATTTAACTAATGTAATTAAGTTAAATGTAAAAACAATTTTATCTCTTGAATTATATTTCGAGTCTGTATTGTAATTGCAGTATTTCCACGAAATTCGAGTGTGCGCATGAAAAGTCACTGCATCACACATAAATTCATTTCGGCATCCTGTGAAGTCTGCCCAACAGCTGAATTTTAAACAATTTGAAACGCTAGATGAATCACGCGCTTTTTGAATATTTCCTTGATTTTTCCCATATGTCGCTGTGGAAAGACAAACACTGTGGCTTTTAACGAGCACTTCCCAATGGCACTTGACCGAAGCCACTCGCGCTCTCAACACCTCCAGCCCGCTGCACGCAGCCGACGGACTTTGGTTAAGTGCGCAAATTCACTTGCTGGGGGCAGCGCCGTCGGCGGCGGTGCAAGTTAATCGGTGGGAAAATGCACGCCGACAACTAAATCTGCTTTCCATCTTATTATGGCTGAACCCTGTTTCGACCTAATCAAATTAAGTAAATGTTATTTCTACACTTCATGCCTACTCGCACTAGGAGCGTGACGATGGATCGAGTTTGCTCCTCATTTGCCCAGATTCATACTGTTTTGCATATTGCCGGGTAAATTAGTTGGTGCTACCTATGTTCATACTGATGTCAGATCTAAGGGGCTTTCAATACATACTCAACTATATTTTAAAAAAATATTAACCATTAATAATTTTATTTAATTGGAAAAGAATGTAATAATTGCAGAAAGTAGTGCACTATTTTAGTCAAATTTTGTTATTTAGAGACAAGTTCAGCAGATTCATTACAAGTTGTCTGAGCTTACCAAGTAAAAATCATTGGAAAAAACCAAGTCATGCACGAAATTGGGTCATCATCACTTCACCGAAGTGCAAAACAGCGCCTTGTAAAATGATTTATCCGAAGCCATGCTCAATACATAGTGAAACGCAAAACAGTCTTGTCGACATCAGTGGAAAAACTAACGACGTGTGTCGCAGGCGTTGTAAGTTCACACTGATGTTGCCGGTGGTAAATGCTTATAAATTTTTCCCAGATGTACGACATCCCGTGTCAGAGCTCGTGTCACGCCACTGTCGACATCTGCGGTATGCAGTCATCGAACTCGCAGCCAACTTCTAGCCACTGGCAGACCCACCCCAAACGGTCCGCACCCCTCTACCCACAAATCCAGCCACGACTGACGCCTTCACCCAGTTGGCACCCTTTCACGCCCTCTCCAGGACAGTCAGTGTGGCCCTGGAGGCCCTACGTCCCCTCTTCAACCAGGCGTCACCAAAGATCTCTGCGACACTCAAATAATAAAACCATGAAAAGTTATAGCTCGAAGAAAGACAATAAGGTGAATGAATTGAAATTGCTCCCCGAAGACTGCAAGTTTCTTCCCTCTGGTGGCTGCGACAACTGGGCGCGAAAAATTGTGAAGAACCATCCATATTACGCTCGTGATTACGAGGCTGAGACCCGTCGTAAGTACAAACACTAATGCTGCATGGTGCTGTGCAAGAGCGATCTTTTGCTCGCCTGGGTTTTTTTATATAATGAGTTCTAAAACTACATTTAAATCACCAATTTTTTCCTCATTTTAGAGAACCCAGCATGTCCCAAAGACTTTAAAACTATGTGTGCCCAAATGTTTCCGCTTGAATTCACCAAGAATGATTGGGAACAAGGGAATTTTACCATGGGTGAGTCCTTAAATTTGCAGCAGCGTCAATATCTTGTTTAATTAAAGCTCAGGTTACAAATTCACGGGGTTTTACATCAACGAAATATTCAGCACTAAAAAGCAAAGATGTTGTGAAGTGCTAAGCTGATCATAGGTAAATATTAATGATTGACAACCGAATATCAGAATTTGCTCAATGCTAACAAAAATATTCGATTAAATGCACAACGAAGGCCCCATAGAAATTGTTTGAAACTTCGGTATGATGAAAGTTTGGGAATAACCCACGGCAGCAGTATCCTTTCTGCTTTCAACTTGGCGACTTTATACTGTGTTTGGCTCAGTTAAAGTGTGCAAACCTGTATTTACACTTTATCATGGTTAGCATCAACTACTGCTGATGTGTAGTACGTTCGAGTCATGGTTTTAGGATTCGTATTTCAATTAAATAATATGAAACCTGTGGTTTTGGATTGTGAGGTATTGATTACCTTGCTTTTGAAGCAGACTGTAGTCGTCTACTTTGATATTTTTCACGCGAACGGTCTTCATTATTCATGTGCTGTTTTGCACAATTTAAATCTACACTTATGCCAATGCTCCATTTGTTTAAAACATAATTTTGGAATTGAAAAAAACGCGTAACTGGCGTTATTTGCACTGAAGACCACAAGTGCCATTTTTTTTAAATTTGAATAGCATGAATATTGATGGCAAATATTTTGAAAACCTGTCTACGATACCTCGTAACCATTAGAAGTAATTTGAGAAGTTATGTTTGACGATCTTACTGGCTGAAGAAGGAAGGCAGCTACCGCTAGGATCATTTGATTTTAGCGGGGAAATGACAATCTGAATCCATATTTTGGATAGAAGGGTGATAAAAATCTGGATAGTTAAAGTACTTTTTTGCAACCAGGAAAGGAACAAGCATTCGGATTTTATTCCTAAGTCTTTATAATATCCATTTTCATTAAAGCAAAGGGAGAACTTCAGGCTTAACCTCTGGCCTACACGAAATGCCTCTTGACGGATAATCGATTTGAAAGTGGTATTCTTCTGAGTTTAGTTGTCTATCTTTGTACAGCCCTTATTATACGCATCAGCCAGACTTTTTGGTGGTTTGGCAAGTTTCATCGCTTCCAGCCCTTCTTCCGATTCACTGTAAAGCGTACACTGAAAACGGATATTCTGGAGTACGACGACAAAGTCATCCTTACCAACTCCTGGCCATCTAGTTGTGTCTGCCCTAATAAACTTGTCGTGGGCAAAAAATACCTTCTTCTTACCCATTCTCGGATCTCGCGCCAAACTTTGCGAATATCCAACAAGACAGTCTTCCTTGAAAATCCCAAAAGATATGAATGGATGATTTTGGTGAGCAAAATTTGTCAAAAAATTGCTTTGATCATTTTTACACTCACACCAACTTTGTTAGGTCAAAGTGGACTGTCGTTGAAACAGGAAATGAGTACAGAGAGGAGACGCTGAAATAGTAATCCATTTAACTAGTGGTTACAGATAAAAGTCAAACGTAAAAACCCAGAAGAAAAGACATGTTTTAGGATCTGGTGTGCGTTAGCCCAAAATGCCAGCACCTCTGTAAACTAGGCTGCTTGAATGCGACATCTCTGCTCGCTCCCTTGGCTGGACGACATGCACCCACACATCCGGTTGTAATAAACTTGGCCCGATATTCTACCAGCCCTGCCCTCTAGAACTTTTGCACCACCAGAGCAATAGCGAACTTGCAAAATGGCGTTTCTTGTTGTAACTACCTGCTTACAGCAGTTCAGCCTCATGTCCATTAGACATTTCTTCTAAATCCTTAGGTCTCAAAATGGTTCAAAAATTCGCACTTGTCATGACCTGGTTGATTGTTCCAAATAATTTAACTAAAAGCCCAAAGACGATGAGGTGACATTCTCCGATAATGGGATACGGAACTTGGCACACTTCAAAAATACCACAAATAAAAAGTCTTTATGGATTATTACATCGATGCTGTGCTCTACTCCAGTCTGCCTTCACTAGACTTGGGTCCTTCAACTCAGAGGTCAAAAAAGGGGTAATCCTTTCAGTTTGCCACTTATCATCGGGTGATCATCGCACATTTCAACCTCTATAATATCCATATCCATATATATGTAATATATATATAACCCAGCAAATGCCATCTAGAAGCAATAAATTCGTAAACTGTAGACCATTGCTCATTAAAAAGTTCCCTTAGCAGCAATCCAAAGTTCTCATTAAACTCTTGAAATACTAGGCTCAATATTCAATGTAAATTCGGTGTTCTCTATTTTAAGCGTCGTAAAAGCAGGTCAGATACCCAAAAGGACACGAGATACCTCAACTAATTGAAATTTGGAATCAAGCAGTTAAGAATGCTTGTGCACTGAATAAGTGACACGTGACGGACCTCATAGTTCATGTGCTCGAATCCGTTTACCTTTGCCCTGTTTTCATCCACAGTGCTGGATGGGATCCTGTCCTCGCCAAGGAGCCCGACAACGGAGGTACAAGCAGAATCAGTGGAATTGGCGCTGGCAACGCTTACGGCATCGATAAAACCCTGATTTTTGGTTCATGAGCCTATTTTAACAACCGGAATGATTACTTCCAGTTACCCATATTCTTCATCGATCTTTTTAAATCGCTACCAACTCTGGATATGCAACCTTTGAAACAATACGAGTAAAACCTGGAGATGTTGGTTTAATGACTTCTAGTATGCATTGTGCTTTTACATAAAGTACAGGTAACATAGTTGCATTTTGAGAGATTTCTCGAACACTAAGAACTGCCTGATTCAAAGTGTTGGTAGTGTAAGGATCCAAGATGAGTCAAAAGGGAGCCACCTTAAGGATGGATCGATTGACTAGATGCAAATTGGCAATAAACTCCAGTGGATTTAATGAGGCTAGGATTTATGCCAAATGAAACAGCATATGCGCCCGGAGTCCATTATTTTTCGATAGACAGGTCTCTCATATACTGCCTTGTATAGGCGGCTTAAGTGCATTTCGAAACAAATACCTTTAAATCAAACTCAAATAGGCACAAAACAAGTAAAGCCATAAATGAATACAGTCACAAAGGTGAAGTTTTCAGGACACAAGGTTAACAGAACGACAGGAGACTTTATGACGAGCCGTTGAATGTGCTTCTAATAAATATTGAAAGAATTCAGAGGAAAAAAAGAGAGACAGAAAGAGGGGGAGTAGATCAACTCTGCGACAGCCGAAGAAATTGTTAGACCCGAACCAATTATGGTGAGAAAGGCCAAATTACAGGTGATACCGTTCCCAGGAAAGACAATACTTTGGGCTCAATTGGCACTGTGAAAAATAGATAATGTTAGAGTTAATATCGCTTTGGTTCATGATTGGATCAGTTGAATATGATTTGTTCGTACGAAGCTTATGGTAGCAATTTGTCGAATGAAGACTTTCTCATTTCATTCAAGGGACCAGGAAGCCTTTATGAATGATTGTGATAATTTGAGATATATATTGACCAAAACAAGAACCTTAGCGGCTTGCGATTCAGAGTTGCACGAATAGGTTTGACTCTTTCATAAACACACTGTTGTTGCAGCAGTAATTGTGGAACTGGATTATTAAATCCTAAATTATGGGCAGCTGGATTTCACTTTTAAAGAGCTTTACCGAACAAAACGACCTAAATTCAAAATAACTTGTTTTAAGAAACACCGATAATGGCGCATTGCGGTTTGATGCCAAAAGTTAGAAATTTACAATTCTCGAACAAGTTCCAAGGGCAGTCTCACTTCTAGGGAATATTGTTGCAAACTGGCCTCTACCTGATGAGAATGAGCGTGACGTCAAAGCGTCCATCTGCAAAGTTTGACTGCCCCAAAGGTAAAAGGGAAGTGATGGATTCACTCTATACTAGTTTACTTCAAAAATTCGTACGAAAGTACAAAAAAAGAAGTTAAGAATATAACCGCTGCGCAGCAAAAATAAATCATTAAGGGAAATAATGGTAAGTGCTTCTGGCAGGAAGCACTTCAAAGCAAAAAGCGCGGACTATTTCAATGCGTCATGAAGGAGCTTCGTATTTCCAATCTGAGGCATCGCAGTCGAAGGAAGAGTGGGTGAGCGCAGTTCGACCACGCGGACTAGTTCACCCCCTGGAGACGTGCACACCGGTCAAGCACGAAGAAGAATGCAGATGCCTAAAGGATAAGTAGCGATCTGGCAATGTCAACCTTTGCTCCCACTTAAAATTTTTAACTCGCATGTCCTGAGACCGTCCATTTAGTTTATCATCAACCTACTGCCACGTTAGCACGACACAGGCAGATTATTTCGCAGTACTGAAAACCACTAATTTTTGCACGTTTTAGTTACAGGTATACTTTGAGCATATTGAACAATCTAGATTTCAAGCAAAGTGTCCGTTTGAACAAAAAAACATGTTTGATCAATATACTTTGGGTTTCAATGTACACAAACGAAGAAGGTCTACGTGGATAAATGAGATTTCATTAAAGGAGGTCCTTGGGTAATTTTAATGATTCAAGGTATTGGTTTGTGTGCATTCTGTTCATGCTAATTACAAGTACATTACACAAAAGACTCATATTGATGATAATGGAGCACACGATTAATTGTTTGGAAAAAAGGCCAGCGAGGAGCTGATTTCAATCTAAAGAGTTCCTTGGTAAATGGATATATGTATCTATATCATTTGTACACATAAACATGTTCGATAAAAAATATACATTTATAATAAACTACTGGTCTTGCATATGTGAGAAGCCAATACTCAGAAAATGCACGCCTGGTCCAAATTTGGAGAGAATTCCGTATTTACCTGGTCCAAGATCAAGGTGACGTCCTGCGAACCGAAGGTGAGGGTCACTTCTCCAGCGTACTCTTCCCCTTCCTCGCGAGAAAGAACTTTCTAAAACAGTAAATAAGTTTACATTTATCGCCATATCAGAAACGTCTTTGTTTGGAGCGGTAGGGAATCTGATATTTTGTACAAAATTGCATCGAGGGCATTTGAATGTTTTTAGATTTAGGCTTTAAATGATGATTTAACACCGACATTCTTGCAGCAAACAAACTTACAGATCAAATTAAAATTCGTAAACCTAAATAGCAATTCAAACGCATTCGTAGGTAATATACACCAATCATGTCCAAAACACATTCTCGTGGTGGATGAACTAAAACCCCACATATCATGAAATGACAATTTTCAAGCTGAATGCCAGTGAATGTACACATTGTAGTAAAACGAGTTATGTGCAACTGTCATCTGTGCAAAAGTAAAAGCAAAGAGGAGTTGACTGGTAGACGGAACATACTCTGACACGTTTAAGTTCTGAAGTGGGGAAATTCATAAGGATGACCCGGCGCACGGGGTGAAGGAAGCAGATCGAGCTGCGACAGATAGCTATGAGTATTGGAATGGGTGCTTTTGTGACATTCTTGTCTTCACGGTACTTTTGGAAAAACTCCTGCGAATGAGCCTCGGGAAGCGATTTCAGGAAGCCGTGGAAGCACGTTGCGCCGTAGAGGGGCCAATGTGAAATTGCAGCTGCAAAACAAAGGAACCTTGCAAGATGTGCTCAAGTGCAGTCATGACAGCGCTTACAATTCACGAACGCAAAATACATTGTTTAACAATGAAAGAGTTTCAAAGTAAAGTAAATTGACAAAATGTTATCGTCTATCATTTGTACTTGAAAATACAATTCTGGTAAAAACCTTCCAACACCAAATTAGCACCAACCGCTATAGTTCAAATAGTGGACGGTATTTAAAATATCTTTGTACCTGTTTGGGGATTTCAAGAATATGCCACACACACACAAACCAGTAATACTAAACGTATTTAGGATTATTGAGATCTTTTGTTATTAAACGTGGCATAAATTCTGAGGCGTATTTGAGACCCATTTTTGTGGAAATGGTGTACTCATTAAAAAATTAATAGTGAGGTGTACATCAAAAGCTAGGCCATTAGCTACAAATGGCGCACCAATAAATCAAGCGCACACTGCCATAGGCAGTGTCTGCTATGTTAATGATCAACCGCTGCCAGGAATATCGTGTCCCGAAATCGAATTTTCTACTGGTAGACTAATTGTCACATTCGGGATGCTTACACTGAGTGCATATAAATTTCATAAACGTGCGACATTTAAATAGAGTAACCCCGTTTCACCAGGCTTTTAAGCTCAAATGTTAAAGTGAATTTTTGGGAAAAATGCACCACTACAATGCCGGAAAGATAACGATTCTACGAGCAAAGAGTAAGGCCTGTGACACAGTCTAGGCAGGTATGTATATTCACGCTTTTGATGGTCACTTAATATAAATAAAGTACAAACTGTACAACAATTCCCCCTTCCACCTACCCCAAGGACAAACAACGTCAAAAGCACTCACCAATAAGACTTTTACGAGCTTCTGCAGGGGTCATTTCAGGACACCGCGCAACCGCATCCAAAAGGTGCCTTGTCCACTCGCGCTTTCGAATACCAACTCCACGGGGCATTAGATCAACGGCTTCTTCGCTGTGAAAAACACAAAGAGCACGAGTGTGCAGCTGTTCGACAAGTAATTAGACTGTAAAATGCTCCATAAAGCGGTCATTCAAATGGGTCATGTTAGGTGTACACCGTTTGTTCGAACTTTCCAGTATTATCTTTCGTGAAAATTTCTGTTATTTAAAAGGTGTACCCAATGCCACAAATATATCAGTTTCTAAAAATGAATTCGAACCATCCTTGAACAAAATTTTATTCCAAAATACAATTCCCTTCTTGATTGGGCTTGAAAGCCTCTTACGCGAGCAAAGGAGTTGAAGTCAATAAAAAAACAACTAAACTTTTGGCTTGCTGGATTCGACATCTATATTACTCTTCATTCCCAATTCAAGTTGTAATTGTGAAATCAAACTTCCAAACAGTTCAAATACTCGAATCATAATGATATTTGGACCAATAAATTACCTTGTGGGTATTTTATTTCGAGGTCGGCCTAGCTGAGCCTAGCAATTGAACTCCAACGAACTTACGCATATTTCCATACCAGTACGGTTATTTACACAAGTTGCACCGTTTCCTTTCAAAAGACGGCAGAAAATTCGACTATCTAGGGCAGTGGTGCTACCATAGCCCAACAATATGTTGCTCTCTTTAAAACAACCACCCCAATTTTATCAAATTGTGTATCTTGAGAATACATAGAGGCTTCTATGTATTAGAATGTGACGTGCAAGCATAAAACTGCCTTGCCACGTAATTCTCATTGGATAGTAAACTGAACGAAGGGGCGATATAACAAAATAGCAAACGACGGAGTCTATTGGAAAGTTTTAAAGCTGATCGACTTTAAAATGCTCCCAGCTGATTACCTAATTTAGTAAGTGAACACGATGTCTTTCCGTGATATGACGGTTCGACGTGCCGTAATGGGAAGGTTCAATTTCATCTGAGCATCATTTTACAAAAAAAGGCCAAAATGCAACAAAATACACACTTACTGTGTTAGTTTTGATCCAGTTGAAAAAATAAAAGACAAATACACAGCCATGTTTATGAGTTCCCGCTACAATAAAGACGACAATTTGTAATTGAATCTTATCAGAATCAAATTGGTTTCTTTCAAAGGCATGACTAATGCTCACATATTGTTTTTCTTCGAGCTGGCCGTCTTCAGTTGAAATCCAGTATCCTGATAAAAATTGTTCAACAACCTAGAGTCAAAAGAAAGCTTATTGGTTCCGAAGGATCTCTGGGCAGTTCTAACACAGTTTTCGTACATGCCTGACTTCAATAACAATTAAAACTGCACTGCCTAGCGTTCTTCGTGCATAAAACGCGCTGCCTCCCAATCCGATTCCGGTTCCTTTGTTCACTTATACTCCAAAATAAAACATTGGTCGGGCACAGACTGCGTATTGGACTGTGTTAGCACTTTGGACCTCGCACCTCATTAGCTCAAAAAACGGCAACATGCGTGCAAATTTTGACAAGATTTAAACCGCGATGCTGGCTTAGTGTAATAATTAAAACTGAACCAGGTAATCTTAAGCCACTAAAAATAAAAAAAATTTTTATTGAGGTCGTGGTCACTAAACTTCCTACATTCCATCGTTCACTTGCATTTCATAATTTTCAGTTGACTCACATGTCTTTGCACAGACATAATATTATTACATGGCAACATTGTTATTACCATGGAAAACAGAAACACACTCAGAGTAGGTGATTACTCTTGACCATTTGACCTCGGATAAAGTATAGAAAAGGCAATTCTCTGTGGTTGAACTTACTTGATCAAAAAGGACCTTTATGTACTCGGGAGAGCGCTTCTCTAGATTGGGCTGGGTCCACCAGCAAACACGTCTGTAGAACAACGCTGAATCCTCGTTGCCTTCGTCATAAGGACACGAATCAAAGTAGTAAGTGTTCAGTTCAATTGGAATCAGACTTAAGTTGGCGATTCCTAGAATAGCAGCAAAGGTGGGTTGAGGTGTCAACAGAAATAATAATGAGGTGGCCAATTGATTTTTTAAAATTAGTTTCTTTCAGCAGTTTGCATAATTCTTACCATTTAAAGGTTTCGAAGGTAGGCGGAATAAAGTAAACTCCAATCTCTCTTTGGCCTGCGTAATGTTCAGTTGCTCGGAGAGCATAAAGGAGACCTCGCCAATGAGAGACATAGGGGACACATTCACTGAGATGGCGCAACGCGCCGGGAGGTTTATTTGCTGTTTTCGAGCCATTTCACCCCTCTGTTTAGAGAAAAGAAGAGTTTTAAAATATACCTCACGGTATTCAGTCTTCATTTAGAACGATCACATGACCCCAAGGCTGTTTGTTTTACCGAAATGCAAACGGGCGTTTAGACTTTAGCTACGTCGAGCCTCATATTACATAATCATCTAACTTGCACTATTAACATTTCCGAAATTGAGAGCATGCTCATCGTAAAACAAACATATGGTAAATGGCACGAAAACTGTTCGCCAACACTAAAAGGTTCCTTGTTGGCTAGTAGTTAACAACAAAGGACGATCGTTTACGTAAATCCGATTATTTGAACTAGAGCACTACCTTTCCTAAGCAGTAATAACATCAATAATCATGGTTTTAATGGACGTACCGATTTCGATCATTTGGTGCAACTAGTGAAAATGCGATTGCACTTTATTAAGATTCAAGGGTTTAGTTTTAATTCTCGGATAGAATTTCCACAAATCTAGTGATTCACAATATCTAATAATGACCTCCTGGCTAGTAAAACTGCCGATTGATGTTAGAAAGAATAGTGCACAAAGGTTTTGTTGATGCCGAACAATCTAAATACATTTGATTTGTGATATTCATAAAAAAATATTATTTCCGATAAAGGGTATAAAATTTACTCAGAACAAGATGAAAGACCAACATAAATTTTAATGAGTGCTATTAGTTGACAAGAAACTAAAACGAAGTGCCCAGAAAAAACAGATTCGCATGACAATTTTACTTTCGAGCCATTTTGCAAATCGGAGCCGAATATGATAGTACTGTTTGGGTACATCGCAATTCCATGACAAGTTAGGGCTCTAAGGGATGTAAGCGACTGTCCGTGAATGCAAAAACTGAACCCTCAAGTCAACAGCTTGATTCGTTTCCGTTTTAACAATACCCAATCAGGAAATGCCAGCACCGAACACACCCTTTTATTTATCGCATTCTGTTCTAGAAAGCCACTGATTGCAAACTCACACTTCCATCGTGTACTTGTTTCCAATACAGAAAAACTGGAGATAAGCAATTACATTTCAAAATGACAGAGGAAGTATCTTCTGGTGGACAATTGCGCACTTCGTGCAAAGGACAGGTAAAACCAGTTTAAGGTGCATTGATAAACATCAAAACAGTTTAACGGCTAAGTGAGAATTGAATGAGCCACAAAGTCACAAATAACAGTGGAACACTTAAAGAACCAAAAAAGAACTAAGTAAGCCTAAACGGCTTCTTAACTTTTGTCTTTTATTTAAGACCTAATTAATTTTAAAATGTCGAATGCGATAAACCATTTTTTTCGCTAACAGTCAAAGCATTTTACCAGGAACCTCAAGTTCTATGGGTGCTATTTACAAAAACATTTGACTGATACCTTTCTTATCAAGTAGGAAAGTCGGTGGTTGGAAGAGGTTGGAGTAATAAATCACACAATACATAAAATATGTGAACATTAATCATGTGCACGCTCTTACCAAGTAGGCGTCAACCTCGACGTCGGGCGGAAGAGCCTGTCGCGGACCGTATTTCTCCACTTTGTCCAGGTTTCCGATCACTGTCGCGGCCAAAGCTAAAGGTTGGGATGGTAGGTGGGTGAGGAGGAAATGCAAGGCTATTAATCACTTGACTGGTTACGGGAGACTTGACAAATCATTACCAATTAGCGCGACTGAATAAACAGACTTCTCTGTATGACATCAGCACGAGATCTCGAGAGATGCAAATATTACCTAATTAAGATTTCTCATAAAGTTAAGTTTATGGGAAAAAGAGGAGTATAGTTTAAAAACAAAATAGAGCAAGTGAAACTGAAAAAAATTAATTACTGTGGACGACAATGGTTTGTGTCAATCAAACTTGATTTAATTGACACACTTAATAAGATTGGAATGGAAACAATCAACAAAAAGAGCTCCAGGGAACGTCGAAACTATGGATGTCCAGCGAGAGAGCAGGCCTACATTGCGACAACTGAAAAATATGTTTGACCAGAAAGATACGAGTGATATCGTTTTCGGACTGTCGATATGTTGCATAGATTGGTTGGTGCTGTAAAAACGACGGTCACGCCAGAGAGCTGATATCGTTTCATTTATTTGGTTCGTTATTAAAGCAACTGATGGTGATTCTTAAAAAGATCATCTGTCTGCCAGAATACATTGGTGAATTTCGGCCTTATCGGCTGTTCCTCACAACGCAATTTCAAACAAACGCTTATGATCGAACAGTGAATGGACAACTGCATTCTATGGGATAAATGTCCTTGCTGAGAAGATTTGTGTCTCAAAAGAACAATTTAAATGGCTGATCACTGTCTCCAAGCAAAGCTATACAAGTTCCTATTTTATCAACATTAGAAATGCCATTTTTAAAGCTGTTTTTCGATACGGCCTCTGTAAAACCATAAAACGTACCTGAAATGGTCATAGTGACACCATGAAGTTGCCTTCGTGTTGTCAAATTCGCCCTCAAATGTGTAATACTGGACTTCGTATTTTCGTACATTGAAGGAACTTACATAGCAAATAATGGTCTCCAGCTATCGTTTTGCGAAGTTTAAAGAGGAAAAGGCCAACACACAACTCGTCAGAGTGCATTTGGCTTTTGATAAATTGGAATTCCCCAAGAATCATTATCTCAATTGATGGGATTAGACTTAACAATAACAAGGTGATGGAGTTTTGCAAATCTTCATAAATGCGAACCATTCAATCAACTCCGAGATTTCTAAGATATGAGTAGCATTTCACTAACCCCTCTCTCAGGCAGCTAAGACTTGTCTTGTACTTTTAAAAAAAAACTTCACAGAGCTCACTCTAAATAAATCCTCACGGCGGTCAAGCAAAAGAGGATTTTACAGCTACAAAAAACTATCGTAAAGGCTACATCCTCCTCCTCCTCCTCCACAAATCGGATGTCGCTGTCCCCGAAACCACCAGAAGACATGAAAGTTGAGGCGTTTGTTGATTAGACCTGAGGCAAGTCACCGACCAATTGACCCACCTACGACAGGCCTTTCAGAGTACTCAGATAAGACTGTGTCTTTGCTGTCAACGTGAAATGAGGTACCAAAACTGCATGCTGCAAGCTCGCATTAAGGCTACCGACGCGTCATTCCGATGGTGAACAGCAGGTTTCGAATGTAAGCTCCAGCAAACGAGTGGGTTGGCCGAATCCTTTCACTGCATGATTTCTCACCATTCTCAAGATCTTTTGCACCGGCAGCCCCAATAGTGCTTATCCATCGTGTTTCATATTCCAAAGGTGCGACTTGCATTACTGAAAGGATTTGCGTATTGGCACCCTGGTTATTTGTTTAAGCTAACTGGCAAACTATTTCTTATGATTTTTAAGATGAAACCACCAGAAGACAAGGAAGAATTCGATATCATATTGATGAAAAATCTTATATGCATCGTGCAAGCAGAACGCTGCGATAGAGTATGGTATAGTATTTAAGCGATTTCTCATTTAAAGCATTTTAAACTCAAACTATTCAACAGCGTGACAGAAAAACACCTGTTTTTTAGTGAATTTTTTAGACAAGCATGCATAGTTAAGGTTTATTAGGGCTGGCTGTTTATAATTTCCAAAAGATCTATAAAACACTTTGTTCCAAGGTCCATCAAGAAGGTATGGGCGAAACATTAACTTACTTTGTACCTTTTGACCGTAAAGAGTTACGCTCTTGGCATGCTCAAGAAGCATAGCGCGCAACTTCGAAGAGCAGTTCAAGAACATGGTGCAGATCGCGTAGACCGTCCAAACTGTGGTCAGCGAGTTCCTGCAAGAGTTAGTCAAAGACATGACTCACAGATAAAAACGAACTTTAAGGAAGACCAGAAAAGAGCAAAAGTGCTTTACCGTATTGCACGCACATACCACTAGTCGCAAACACAGTTAGAAGTCCTACCAACTTAATGACCTCAAGGTTATCTCATCAAGTCCTGACGACTGCATGTGTTTGAAGGCTTAGCCAAATGTACCCATGGTTCAAGCAGGAACTGCTTTGGACCAGACTGACGTGATGCAGCCACGGTGTCTACTGCTGCACAGTAGCCTAATGTCGACACCTGCAATGACTTGTCGTTTCAGTCCACTACACTTCTGCAAAGCCAGTAGAATGTAGTCGAGTGTGTTTCTATTTCACTGTCAACGACGGTAGTGTGGATTGCAGTTCATTAATCTCAAAGAGGCGGGGGGTGCAAATGAAGGAGCTGTTGACATAGTACTAAAGACGAAAGTTTGACAAGCACTCTCTTCTTGTGAGCTTGTGACTCCAATTCGGTTTACAAACTGAATAGCTAATGGCATCGGCACGACATATGAAAACAAATAACAATAGGTCTGATTGTCCGAAACTTACTGGTTTTCGCTTTCGTTCTTGATGGTTTGCTTCACGAGTTGGCAGAAAACCTCGTCCTGGAGAGCTGGATGGCGCCTGGCCAGCTAAACCAACAAGCACACAGCCACTCAGTACTGGCACCCAAAATACGAACGGCTGTGCTAAAAGCATTGCAACTGACCTTAAGGATTCGTTGAACAAGGGCAACAGGTGGTTTTGAAGGTTGGCGTTCATGGCAAAGTTCAAGAAGAGCTAGAAATGTCCAATAGACGTCGTAAATTACTTGGGTTTCTCATTTAGCAAAAACTAGCACATTTTACCTGGCGCACATATCTCACGGGATGCTCACGAAAACCTACTAAGTGTTTGATGTTGTAGTCGGCATTATCCGACCAAGTAGAATAAATAATGTCAGCTCCACTCAATCAAACCTACCACTGAGAAAAAACACAGGATAAAAATCCTACTGAAATTTAACGAGTAGATATGAAGTTGTGAACTAAGCGGCTTAAGCTTTTACTTGGTCAAAAGTAAGGTCACTGCACCTACATGATCACGAAATTTTAACTTTGAATGTTCTTCATCCAAGTTACCTTCAAAGATCCTAGAGGCGGAATCGACAGCGTTGGGGTCTGAAAGTTTGATCAATGATCCGTATTTCAAAGGCGTGGATTGCCAGGACAATTGCTTCCCAATGTTCCTCCTAAAATACACAAACATAATGAGCAAATAATCACTGTGTCGAGGTGTCAGTAGGGAGTCATTGCATCACCACTACTAATTCGTGCTTTTACTACCTGTAAGGTGAGTTCAACTTGTATAATTGTGATGTTTTTTCAGTAATGCAAGCAAATAGCTGGCAAAATTGGCCATTTCAGGACGAATACGTGGGAGCTTTAACTTGAAAGCACTCACTTGTCCCTGAAGTGTTCCCTTCCGAAAGGCACCAGAGCCTCCAGTGCGACGTTGTACGAAGAGCGCATCGAAGCGACAGACACTGTATCCGACATGTAATCCACGTAAGTTTTTTCTCGTTGCTCTCGTGGAGGTTCTAGAAATTTTAATGAAGCTAAAATTATAGTTTTTTTGCTTTAGTTTTTTAACCTAAGCGCAACCCTGTGACCATATTTTCAGGTTAAAGCGCTTCTGTTCACTCTGAAAACAAGATTCAAAAATTCCAGAGCCACCGAATGAATACTGCAATTGCCTTATCCCTATTGTCAAACGCTACACTTGTAAGCACTCTAAGTTGCTTTTTTATAATTTAACACAAGTACTAACAAAAAGGTGGTTTTTTACAGTCCAGGCGAGGTAAAGCAAAAACGAATGGCAAGAGCCAGAAAATAAGAGAGGGATGTGGTCAAAAAATAATACTACAAATATGCTTACTTTGTATCTCTGACGAATTTTGCTTCTTGATCTGAAAGTCAAGTAAAGTGAATATTGAAGATGAGACTGCAGTACTTGCTGCAGAGTTGTTGCTCTCTCAGGAAAGACATTGAATCTCCCTCTGTCTTCAGAACTGACAGGTGACCCAGTCGTAGCTTCATGGGGCAACAGAGCCTATTATCTCTCGTTTAACCAATGAACAAGCGACTACGGGCGCACACACCAAAAAGAGCTAAGCAAGGGGGAACAACGCCAAGTTAGCGTCTGTTGTGTTGAAACAAGAGCCCAAGTCACCGACCGGTCCCCGTAGTGTCAACGCATTCCCACTAGCTGCACCGCAATCCAACATTAAGATTAGCAACAGAGCATCAGGCCATCGCGCCAACTTAAAATGATGAGCTAATCTGCACTTGAATGCTTCTAAGGCACGGCAAGAATCATTATAACTAAGAATGTTTAGGTAAGTATTTATTTGATATAATAATTGCTAGACACGATTCTTTTGCATTTTTGCATCAACATACTAAAGTCTCAATTGAAAAAAAAACGCATGTAGGTTGCATTAACTTGCCTTGTACTCGGCCACGAAAATGTCAATAAGGCGTTTTAAATCATCAGCCTAAAAATGGTAAATAGAATAGAATTCAGCCCGCAACATCTACAGCTTTTCAGTAACTCATAAAAAGAGCTCACGTAGTTTGTGTACATGTCATATGCGCGGCCCTTGTCATCCTTAATCGCGACGTAGTTGGCCTCGTCAGTAAGGCGAATGCCCTTCGTGTTGATCAGGTACTTTTGCCCAGCGACGGAGGGCTGTACAATCGGTCTTTCCTTGCAGACTGCCTCACAGCTGACAATACTTGAAAGCGGTACTTCTGCGTACAGCTCCAGGTTCCGTTCGTTCCTCTTCTGGCGCACAAAACGGATGGCCTTGTGCCCTACTATGCACCAGTCGTAAGAACGCGCTTTCCCCGATCCATCAGTTGGCTTGACATAAGCGCATTCGAAAAAAATACATTCTTAATCCACATAAGTATACACGCTACATACTATTTGGTTTTAATAACTGCTATTATTGCGCATGTAACAGGTGAGGTATTGTGATCATATGAAACTAGTCCCGTCGATATTTATTGAAATCAATGTGGCATTACAAACAGCGTTTCACCAATCACTGCTGACTGAGATAAAGGGAATACCTAGCACCTAGGCAGAGTTCTTTCGACACCAGGAGTGCTAATTAATTTTTGTGTATGAAATTTAGATTTCATGTCACAGGGCGCACACCAACAAAAAATGTTTTGATTATACATCTTAATTTCCTCAAATGTAAACTCAGAACAAGAACGCGCATCTCATTTTCTGATATCAAATAACAGTTTTGGAGACCGAATAGTGACAAGAGTCCAGGTACGAATGGCAACTGTGGGACTGAGATAACTTTTTCAGCACCGCTGAGGCCTGTTCTACGGGCTTGAGTCATGGGCCGGAAAATGATGATTTGAAACTCAAACCAGAATTGAGCTCGTCACCTAGACTGCCTTCTGGACTGTTCACCTCCACCAAGGCCTAAGTGGTGGGCGTGACACGAGAATTGGCCCTCTGTGAGACCTGCTTATTTAAGTGCTAAGAATTGGAAATGAGCCCTCACAGATGCTCACCTCAATGGCATAGAACCGACCGAAATAGTAAGGACATTGTTTTGCTGCATCGACAACCATTCGTTTCACAGCCGTTGGTTGGTAAATAAGCTGGTTAAGGGAGCTGTTAAGGAGGATTTCACCTAAAAGGCTTGGAATGTTTAATCACAAAAGCAAGAAAAAAATACCAAATTTCTGGCTAAATCGAATTCCTACCAATCGTATTGCGAAGCACGCGGATGTCGTTTGATGTCAGACGAGGCGTGACGTTTTCAAGTACATCACCGACAATTTGACAAAATACCAGGTCAAGAATGCGCTTTGGCTTCAATTTTTCAAGTGGAGTTATGAGCTAAAAATAAAATAATCGACAAGTACTGCTGTAATTAGATCTACCTGTACACCCAAAAAAAGATCCAAAAAAACCCAAATTCAACGCGACTGATTATCTTAAAGTGCTTTGTATAAATCGAGTCGTCAATTCTCTCGTCTAAGATATGTTTTATCTCAAGTTTCAAAACTTCCGAAAAGGCTTTTGAAATTAAAGCTACAAAACTGCCAACATTAATGATGACCATTTACTTGAAATGGGAATCAAGCGCATTTGAATCTCAGTACTGTGCCCGCAGCTTTGAACAAAATTTCACTAAATGCAGGGGATAAAACTTAACGCATGTAACTGCATTTTATAAAAGAGCCTTGTGGCATAGCCTAAACACCTGCTAAATTAGTTGAATGTTATTGTGGTTTTTTGGTCAATGTCATTGGTGTTTTGATTTCCCAAAAGAGGTTTATATTTCTGTTGAAACCTACGTCAAAAATCGTGCCACAAAGCCTACATGGGTTTATAATATCGTGTTATGCCTGGTATCATAGAGACTGAAGTGCTAGGACGTGGGTACCTCTTTCCGAACGCGCAAGGACCATCGGGCGTGCTTATAGGTCAGGTAGCGCATTTCGTGGGGCGGATATCCACTCAAAGGGCCACTGGTTGGAGGGAGGCCGATAGGTGGACCGCTGGACAAAGAGGGATCAGCATTCACAGTCACATCCTCGTCATCATTCATCGCCATTACAGACGTCGCCCGGGGCAATTTGACTTTTGACTGGTTTCCTTTGAAACTGCGTCCGCGGCGAATGCTCATACGCGGCTTTGGTGGGTCGTAGCGCTTGGCGGCCATCTTCCGCACCGCCTGCAGCCAGCTCGCCTCTCGCGCAGCCGAACTGACCGTTCCGCGAGGAGCCTGCGGTTAAGAATTCAGATGGTCAGAAAACCGCGAATTTCATGGCTTTAAGAAGGCATGTGTTAGCTGACTCCAATAGATAGAAGGTTTTCCAAATGTGTCATGGTTTTCTAACGCTAGTAGAAGTGACGCGGCAGATGTGAATTGAAACAACTTTGTGACATCCAAATCTTAGTACTTCCAAGGAATTTGGCAGTTCAAGCCCACATAAAATTAAAAGTAACAGCAAAGAGTAAAGAAGCAACTTGATCAAAACAGGCGAGTCGACCTTCTAACCACACGACTGCTCTAATTCCGAAATGGAAGTACACTAGCAGCGTGTGTAGATGACGTGCCCCGGCCTAACTGCGAATTCGACAAAGCAATTTGAAGTTAACAGTTCGTGCCTCAAGGAAACCGTAACTGTCATTTGGCTAGCAATATCTCACTTTCCTATTTGTAAATCTAACCGTACATTTGCGCATAAAATCCAGATAGGTTTGATCCGTACACAAACTTGGGTTATGACTTCAGTAGGATCGTTCTTGCTAATTTGTCATGATACAAGATAATTTAGCCTTGAGCATATTTGAACCAACAGCACAGATAGCCAATAGAAGTGGTGCTTTTACTCAAAAATGAAATCTTGATTGTTCTGAGCTGTTATTTTACCTACAAAGCAGCGGTTTCATGGGAACTGCATTAAGTAAGTTGCCACGTAACCATTGACCCTGGTTACAGCTTAGCGTTCTCAACCCAATTCACATTTTGACGTTGGATACCTCCGCCTATAAAGTCGTCTCATGCGCTAATCGCCAGGCCAAGAAAACCACCCTCAAAAACTACCTACTTTACAATCATTGTTATCAGTAACTTTCAGCAGTGCGCTACGTTTTACGACTTGGTACACACATTTGGTACTCTGCATTGAGTCCACAATTTCATAAACAACAAATAATAATAAGTTAGAAAGCTGTGAATTTTTACTGGAAGAACTTACCGCGGTTTCTGCGATGCCATGAATTGAAGAGGCGACGGTGCCTCTCATTTTGCGAGACCAAGTTCCGTCTTCGTCAATACCATTTCGTCCGTTGCCCCAGGTTCCGATCGGCGGTCTACGATGGCCAAAATTAGTTTGCATCAGTTAATGCAACAGTGGCCAGAATTGAAGTAGAAAGGCCCCTACCTAATTCAGTCTTAATGTACGCTTTTGGGCCTGAAGTCTAGATTCAGTGGTATATCGATGCCCATTACACAGGACTTTCTCCAGCCTTAACCGGTCAAGTTAGGGATACTTCTTAAGCCACGTAGGGTATGCTTGTAGGTGCTCACTGGCAGCCACCATCTCGACCGGAATACGTTCCTTTCTATTTAAGCACGATATTGCTGAATCGTTTAAGGACGATACTTGAAGGTAAAGTTACATAGTCCAACTTTTACGTTCATTGCCTACGCTTATACAAAAAATGGCTGAGGTTATCTAAAACTACAATTTTGGAAAACCGTACAAGCATTGACTAACAGAATGGAACAATCCAGCTAAACAAGAGGGCGAAAAAATTGCCTCTGCATTCTATGAAAAAACCTAAAAACAGGTAGTGATGGATGAGAGAAATGCATGAAACTCAATCAACAAGGTATTTCAACTGCTACATTTACAGATAAACGCTACTAGGCCTAATTACACTTTACGTTTTCAAGCATTCATAACTATAATAAGCAAATATTTTCGACCAGGCTGCAGATTTAATGAAATGTAAACTTTGGTATCTAATTTGGTATGAGCAGAGACTAAGGGGTTGTTGTTGGAGTAGGCCATTAATCGGGAGAACGGTCACTTGCCTAGCTGCAGCCCCGTTCGGTTGTGGGCGCCGTCTGTCGAGGGAAGGATAACGCATTTGCACACTTCTGTCGGAACTTCGACTGATGGAAAATCAAATAACAAAAAAAAGTAATAAGTAGTTTCCGACAGCCACTCAAGTCAATTTTATGGCACCAGCCATAGAGTAACAACTGTTCTTAAAAGGCTAAAATAACTGCGCAGTCAGTCGGTTGTGCAAATAATTAAAATCGCTTTTCATTGTTCTTACGCTGACTTGTAGGCTGCGTTATTTCGGAGGGTGCCAACGAATGGTGGCCCAAGAGCGTACTGTGATGGATCCATGGCAGTCGCTAGGAAAGTCTGGTCGTGGCTCAGGCCTGAGAGAGCGAACCAATCAGAAGGAAGTTCCGTGGAACTCAGCACGTCCATTACAAACCTATGTCCACTGGGTTCAATGACTCCACCCTTGTGGTAGAGGCTCACCGTCCATCCACGTCCCAGGCGCGCGGTTTTTGCTCTGGTAACAGCAGTAAAAATATTGCAATTGATGTCAGACGTACGGTTCTTCAGTATTTTTCATTAAACTAAGAAAAGCTAGCAGGATGAAAGCAAACCCTCTTTTCATGCACTCAATTGCAGCTCCCAGTCAGTCTAAATTTTTGCTCGTATAACTACTTGCAAAATCAAAAGTTCACTTGATAATGTCGGCGAGACAGTTTAGTAAGTGCACTACTTACACCAATGAGCGAATAGCTGATTCTAGCATTTCTAGCAAGACCTAAGATGCGGTTTAGTGGCATTATGAATAAAATCATTTAAAGCTCTGTACTGATAGTAGTCTAAGGGTGCTGGGTGTCAACGAATCGCTGCATCTTCACCAGCATCCACGTCGAGTTCGGCCCTCGTTGTCGAGTCTTCATGGATGTGTGCGCTGTGGCGTTGTCTTAGTGAAGCATAACGCACATCCTTTCGGTAAAATCCCATTTACCTGCCCTAGTTTGGGCTTTGCGAGCAGTAATTAGCGAAATATGGAGCGCACGACACGACATTTGTCCAATCTCACCAATGAACATTATGGCTTGTAATGGCTGCATGTCCATCGTCGGACTTTTCTTCCCTCTGGCCTTTTCACCATGTGTTTAACACTTCCTAATGCAGCCCAGGGTGCGTCGAGCACAGCTAGGACAAATGACACGCACCTCCTTGAATTGAGAGTACCTGCTTCCCTGAAGTTGGCATCATGAAAAATTATGAAGCGAAGGAGTTTCACTGACAGTCCTAGTTTTTACGCCTGGTCAGAGACTCGCAGCCAACACAATCGTGAACACAGATTGAGAATTCGCTCAATAAAGTTGGTCCACTAAGTCTTTATTATTAATAATGTTATTATTTTACGATCATCCTTAGCTGTGCTATAGCTGAACATTTCAAACCTGAGACAGTTAGGCCTTTCATTTGTCTGATCGTATAACACGAGTTATGATTACGCATACACAAACGTGCATGCCATTCTTGAGTGGGGGGCTTAGGAGTGAGCAAGCCTTTTGTCACCTAATTAAAATGCAGCCACTTCTGTTTCAGTATTGTTTTGATGACCTGCGTTAGGAATGCCTTCCTAAAGTAATTAGCTTGCCAGCACACTTTTACTTGTTAACACTCAATACGTTGTAAACGTACTTCAAACTAATGGCCTGATTGGCAAGTTCGTCAGCTCTGCTGAAGCTGAGAGTGTGGATGTTGGCAGTGGTGCCTAAAACAAGATGGAAAATTTTAGAGCTACGGTAGAAAACACTGCTTCAGCAATTGACTTTTTAAGTTAATTGATTAAAGTGGTGTCAGGGTAATACAGGTAACTTTAGGCACGAATAACTAGGCCATCAAAATGCGCGTTTAGCAGGAAACTGCTGTGAGTCTTGAACCACGCCGGGGCCTCTGAACTAACTCTAGCCCGATTACGCTTCCCTGATACCTGCGATAAAGGAAAGACCGGAGAGGACGTGGACACAACCGTTTACTTCAGAGCTCATCCACATTGGTATCGTATCGTGTGTGGGGTTGATGCGTTGTATTTGTACCTCAGATGCGTGAGTCATCGATGCGCTAACATCGAGACCTAGGTGTGAGGATAATTCAAGGTAAATATTCGTGTGAACGAGTGGGTAGTTGAGGATCCGCGGAGCTGGCGACATGCTGCGAAAAGGGGAACCCTGTGTCGGATTTATGGAGCTACCGGTTTAAGGAATGTGAATAAACATGATCCACAATAAACTCAGTGATTAGAAATGGGGTAACAAGCTTCACGCTTTGTAGATTTTCATTTCGTTTACTTATAACTGCAAAGACAGTTCACATCTAAATTTATCTACTTCTATAAGTAGCAGTTTGTATACAAGTTATTCACATTTTGCCTTTTTAATAAATTGCGATTTGGATTTTTAGATAGGTAAAGTTTTTTTTTAATCTCAGTTAATTGGAAGGCGTTTCAATATAACACGGACTTCGGCTCGATGTTACGAGTTGCAGTGCGGAGACGGACACGCCAATTGTCTTACAAATGATCCAATTCAGCCTTTCACGCGGGCTGCACAGTACCCTTAACTACGCCGCGCTCGCTTGTCAGGTGTGTAGTGTTATTAGTATACAAACTGCAAATTAGGCTTTACTCTCGACTTTCCCTTTTAGCGATCAGGCCTTTTCTGGAGAAATCGTGTTAGGATGGCACTGACGACAAACCCCTTGTCAGCATATCAGAGACTCATCAAAATCCACTGGAAAAGATTACAACCATCTAAGGGCATTCTGTAAGTTTAGACTTCACCTCTGGAATGCAAACATTAGAGTATTAATGGCGTAAGCGTTCTTAGTTTTTTGGCAACTCATGGACCTGCTGTCAAGTCGCTTTAGCTTGTCAGCGAATCAGTTCAAAGTTATGTCCATGTTTATGCACAAAAGATTTAGAAAGTATCTTGCTAAACTAAATGTGAAGATGACTTGCGTACAGTTCGCTCCTGGTATTCCTTGCCGTACCCTTCTTAAGTAGCCTTCTGTGATATAGCAACACAATTGATGCAACACATAATTAACACATAAAATGGTAAAATTAAAAACAAACGATGCTATAAATCCCAGCTGTGGCGTACCATCGGGGTAGGTGAGATATAGAGCCATGTTTGTGCCGTTGTAGTTCACTCGCCACTCCAGCATTGATGGTGGATAGGTTCTTACTGTAACAGGTGCTGTAACAATCCTATCTTCACAGAACCGAAGTGAGCGGGGAGGTGCAAACTGACGTATGTGTCTGTCAATTGGAAGAAAGACTGATCTTGGATAAACAATGGTCTAATAATTTGGCTAAGCCTTTGGAACGCGTTAAGCCGGATTATAATAACATCAAATTCAAGAGCCACACAATTTAGAATCAAATAGAAGTTACATATTATTTTTAATGAACTTGTCTCTTGTAGAATGTGCTAGGTGAATTTCCAACTAGATTATTTCAGGGTGTATGCGAGTTTAAATACAAAAATGCTAAATTTTACGAGGGCACATTCTTAACACCTAACCGAACTGAGAATAGTTTGTTTTGCGTGGGCCTAAGGACTGACCGAACAACAGCGGCTCTCTGGGATTTAGGCAGTCGGCCACAAGTGAGGACGCCCGCAATGTGCATCCACAAACGTCGGTGGCTGCGGCGCATGTCATCTTGTGCAGTCTTATGGCTGATCTCGTGACGCGTGCGCTTCATTTGTACCCCAGTGCGCCCAGTCGACTTCCACCTGGTTGACTTTTGACGTATAAGATCTTTCCGGGCATGGCTGAAAGTTATCTCTTCGTCCTCTGAGTCCGTTGCATAGTCCAACTCGCTAGTTATCGGCCAGTTGAGTGTTTGATTGAGCAGTTGGAAAAGAATCTCCCTGAAGAGGGTGTAGTTCGAGAGGGCCTACGATTCGGGACGTCAAAAGATACCCCAATGTCATTAATCATTCTAAAAACCTAAGATGCTTAGCTGAATACGATGGAGTAATTGTGAATAGAAATTCTAAAACAGACACGTAGTCGGTAGAATGGAACTTTCTTGAGATGACATCCACAGACTAAAGAAATTCAAAAATCAGCATTGAAGATCGAGAAAATTTTGGATTGCGTAGCTATTTGCTCCTGATTATTTCTAAAGAGAACTAAATTCACCACGTCTGACCACAAAGAATTTGATAATTTCAAGGTGATGTCCAAGGAAAGAATGTACTTCTCGAACTGAGTGAATCTAGCAAATGACTTACTCTCAAATTATTTGTGCCAAAAGGACAATTGCGCATTGTTTAAAGCTGTGTTCATTTCCTTATATTTTTGCAAGACTGTGTTTTGAAAAAAACCACTGCTCATATGCATTCAATTACCAGCACAGTAGGTAAATTTAAACGCCATCACACTTGAACTATTTGAGACTGTCGCAGTACCTTTGCATGTAACTGGCGAGTAAGGACACAAAAAAATTAATCTAACCAAATTCTGGGAATTGATGTTTCTTAGTAATCTAGGAGTTAGATGTTTTAGCTGATACGTGGAAGAAGTCACCTTAAAAAGTGATATACACTTCCGCATCAATGGAAGAATGTGGCCGCCGACAAGAGATTCTGTGAATAAAAGCCCACATTTAGTGATTCGGGAAAGGGAATTTTTTCTTACCATTTGATAAAGGTAACTCCCCATCAAAAATTCATCCATCAGATCTCCTGAGTTCTGGTAGAGTAGACGGATAATCTGTAAATGAAATGAAACATGGAGTTGTGGTTCCAGTCCATGTTGAATTCATTGTAATAGCAAGTCTGTTTACCAGTTTAGAGGCCTCAATGGCCATCTCCCCTTCGATTTGAGTAGGACGGTTGAGAATAAGGGGGCGAATAAGTGGTGTCATACGCTGGCCGAGTTGGAACTTGAAAAGAAAAAAAAAACAAAATGACAACCTAATCTCTACACACTTAGCACCCACATAATTATTCAGAGTCGCTTAGCAGAACCAGGACAATTAAGTCTGTGGTCGTCCTTTTAATAAACCAGGTCGGTAACTAAAAGTATTGAATTCTGAATTTACACAGATTGCTAGATGCGAAACTCGAAAACATACATCCGATGGCAAATTTGTCATGATTGTGGTCACTAAATATCGACTTGTAGATAACCCGAAGATGAAAGTAATATGTACTAAATTGAATCTTTTAGTTTGGAGTGACTAAAGCTGTATCTAATCTGCCCTACGATAATGGGAGTTGATACCTATGAATTGATGCCTTTTATTCATTGGCATTCCAGCCAGTTCTCACGTGAGTAGACTTTGAGTTCGACTTTCAATAAACGAACAAAAACACGTCAATTTCAACGGGATGTATTAATTTAATCAAATGGTTGCTGAGGTTTGGATATTCGAGCGGAAACTGTAGTTATAAGGTTACACCTAAATTTGCGAAATGTTGATGCATGCAAGGGCTCTGATGTGTACACAAAAGATAATATTTGTCTCTGTCAAAAACTTCTTTCCACCATCACATAACATTTTCCATTCCAAAATATTTTCAGTGGATAAAAAAAATCGGACTATGTGGTTTCAGTGGTCAAGTACCATAGAACAAAGAAAAAGTTGATGTATGAAAAGTCGAAATAATTCTGGCCTTTGCCGAGATAACCACCTTTTTCCCATGCAACCAAAACCCGTTCTGCTTATTAGGGCTTTTTCCCACACACATACAGTATCGGAGACGAAGAAATATATTGAAATATCGCATATTAGACACCAGACGACATTTCTTTGAGTAAACTTTCAAGTAAACTAGTCGAGTTTGAGAATTAATTTAATTTACCTTATCCAAGCGCTTACTACTGGCGGATCCGCTGCTAGCGATAAGTTGTGCGATTGTTGGTGCTGTCCACAGGTCGCCTTTGAACCGAGTCCAACAACCAGGCAGATCACTGGTCATTAGACGTTTAACCATAAAAGTCTTTGATATCTCCATCTCTGGGTTTACGAAAAAGTCCTCCTTTCCTTGGGCTGGATTACACAAGAAGACGGAGGCTCATATCAGACAAATAACAATTGACAGACCATTTGCTTTCTACATAAAGGTAACTGACTTTAGCCTAAATCAATTTCGCTGTTGGTTCATTTCCGTTTTTGTTATACAAACCATCTGCCTCATATAAGTGCTGCTAAAATACCACGTTTTCAGTAATTTACTATCAAAATATGGCCTTGTTTTTTTCTACCAATGGCATTTAATTCCACCGAACAAACTCATACATTGATATTTTAATAACAAAAAAAGGCATACGAAGACAGAAATGAAGTGCAGTCTTATCTAATCAATCAAAAAAGGATTGGTTCCTTTAGACCAATTTTCCTTCTTGAGTAATTTTGTACAACGGGGACACTTTAACCCTCACTGTACTTCCTACGACAGAGTATACAAGTTTTTATTCTTGGCAGGAGGCAAAATTGGATTCCTCAAAACAACAAACATTCGTGCATCTCCACTAATTGACATGCCTTCATACCAAATCTGATGTTGCTAAATTGGTTCATATTGATTAGTAGGATGGAAAATAATTAAATGACCCAGCAATACAATCAACTCAGCTCACCTGAGCCAGCTTTTTCGACAATGAATGATAAATCCTGAGGAATTGGTAAACTGTTGATTTCAGCAGGTGTAAGAGGTTCCACGTAGTCCATTTCTTCGTCGTTATCCTTTAACAAATTCATAATTTCATAAGATATCATTATGTCAGATGTTGATGACTTACAATACAAGCTCGACTCATCATCTGATGCATAAATACTACTCAGGTGCTTGAAAAATCCCTTCATCCTCCCAAACTTGTTGGTATGCTGGGCTCGATTATTACCAGATGTTTATAAAACAGAAAACTAACCGGCTTGATTCAAAGCAACAAAACTGTCCTGCAAGGAATCCTTGTGAACTTCATTCGCTATTCAAATAGTGGAAATAAACGTGGCATAGAGGTCGCCCCAAGTATTTTGGCAAGCTGGCCTTCGTCGCTACAATGCCCCATTCTCAACCGAAAATCAATTTATAACTAGGCCCTAGTCATCCTCTAAAAATACTCTACCCAAGAAGAGCAGTTAACTCAAATTTGAGTGGTTATATATCTTTCACAAGGCTACTTAGGTGATGGAAGCACTGGGTGCACTAAAACAATGGTGAACACGGCCAACACGATCACACCTCTACCTTAAACATACTGGCTATTGGGACCAGTAGACTAATGTCCCTTCCGTATTTGGATCGCTAACGTAATAGCGGCGGCTTCCCGATGTTCGAAAATCTAGGCCTATATTTACGGTTTAATCAGGTGAACAAAGCATGTGAGTAGGAAGGATTTGATTTCCGGAGTTCAGGTTGTTTCCATTTAAAACCCAAAGTGTTCTATCACTTTTACAAAAGAGATTGTTTGATGTTCGTATTTTTTTTCAAAAATGGATAATCAGCCGGAACACAATGAGGAGAATTTGTAATGGCTTGTCAGCGCTGGCATTTATCGGTAGAAGCTAGTCTGAACAAGCTATTAACGGAGGAGGGCGTCAGTGTTAAGGTCTGCCACCTAGCTGTGCGCCGGTCTAGCGCTCCTCTAAGCCTCATCGTTCAGACACACCCACCCACCCATGCGCGCACGCACGCTACGCCAAGTAAGGAGTTGTGCGCATCACCGTGTCTTTCCTGAATTCACGTGTCACGTAAACCTTGGTTGTAGCCAATTGACTCAAATATGCTTTCACTTATCAAAATTCAGGACATAGTGTAAGAATGAACATTTGGAATTGCCTAATATGATAGCAACAAATACTCACCTTCCACATAATTTCATCACTCATGGACATCAGCTAAAAGGGGAGAAAGATGGTGTCTTAGACCTTTGAAAATTAAAAAAAGAAACAAGTATACGTAAAGCAGATGAGCAAAGAGTAGCTCCGAGTAGATATTTCATCAGCTAAACCCAGGCAAACACAAAGGAGGGCTTTCACGTAAGTTGCTGGTCTTCTTATCCAACACCTGATTGCATTGCTCCTCGATTGTATGATCGCTACCATTTACTTTGAGTAATGCTTCCCCCGCAATGCAAATATTGCTGTCAAATCGTAGCCCTCAACTCCCAGCTCTCCCAGTACTTCCATGTCCTGTGAGTTTTCATCCATACGCACATCCATAGTTCACAAATCAAGTTTGGTATTGTGTTGAATCCCTCTCTCTCATCCATCCTATCTCTTTTCTTGTTAATTCGTGCTGCATTTCGCCACAACAACATAGAAATCGCAATCACACTTAGCGAATCAATATTTTCGTCGCGTTGAGTCACAACATGCGTGTTATTTTCATATTTGCAAGTGATTTTGCGAGCGAACAGCCTAAGCCCTGGCTTATGCTGGGCGTCCTTGCACAATTGTGAAATGTGAGTGCGCACTCACAAGAAATCTGAACTACTCAATGTCTCAACCAGCGCCTAACAAGAGCCTCTCCGTGCGGGTGGTTTTGGTAGAGTGATCTCATGGGTCAGAAGGAATGTATTTGAACTCAACCAACTGGCAAAGTGGTATTGATTCACCCTTTATCTTAATAAATAATCAGGCATTGGCTCATAAATCAGGTATTCCATTTACCTGCTACTTAACCTCAGGCTACAGATAGTTTAATAATTAGAAGTTCCAAAGTTTGAAATTTGCTAGATGAGTTCACAGAAACCACTTTTACCTTGGAAACAACGAGGGAGGAATGAAGAGTAACTTATTTAAGGTAACGAATTCCCAAAATCATGTTACCTTTTTTAACTATTAAGTAAGTTAAATAAAAAGTCTTTATTTGGACAAAAAACAGCTAACTTTCATATTGCATGCCCCTCGAAGTACGTCCGATGCACAAAGTGCTGTACAGAACGCCCAGCGTAAAACATAATCCAAGCTTTATCCACTGAACTCATGGGTGGGTCATGAAACCCTTTTTATAGACATTGCGCGCATTTATTGAACCCTCCTCTATAAGGCATGCGAAGTTCTTGCCTTGTCTCCTGATTTTAAGTAAAGTTGCTTTGGTAAAAACCCGGTCTTATTTTTTATCAGGTCTTGCAACGTACCATAAAATGAAGTCGTGATTTTTGGTGACAACATGTTTGTCATTTGAAATCACGATTTTATGCATTATAAAGTCAGTTGGATTAAAAATTAGAAAAGCAAGGGAGTATAGCAGTTTTTATGTAAATTACATATAGGTAAGAAGGGGTTATCGTACTAATCTGCCGTAGGTGTAAAAAACTTGTGATAATGTTGATGAGTTTTTAAGTAAAGCAGATTATTTTTACCAGATTTTGTTGATTTGCTTGGAACTAAACGCACGAAAGTGAATGAATTTCATAAAAATGCTGATAAATGGTTTTGGTGCATTGGCGAAGAACGGTTGGTCGTGGTGGCGGGCATGTGAGCACACAGTGAACTTACCGGCGCAGGAATTCTGATTCTCATCAGCAACTTCTTGTTTTTCTTTCTACAAACAGAAAAAAACGCGCTTTCGTTTAGTGGGGCGCATATTTATGGGAGGTGTTGGTGGGACACCACAGTCAGTGGAATTCTCTGAAACGGGTGGGTCTTGCTTAAACAGATTTGAGCTGGTCGTGCTGTAGCAAAACGAATAGGCCTGACATGGCTAGTGCATAATAAGACCTTAAAGCCCAAAAGACGAAGAAAATTACCCGACAATTGAGTGTTAAAATCACCCCCACTGTTACGAATCGACGTTTAACTCTCTACTACTTATTATTAGGGAAAAACAGATTGGGAGGGAAGAATGAGTTTTAGGTCAGTAGGAATAATTTTGTTCACAGCTCTCCTAACATCAATTGAGGAGTCTCCTTTCGAATTAATATTGAGGTTGAATTCGATCGACCAGTTTAACTTTCAGCACACCGTGAATCGTAACAGCTTAGAGGTTATTTACCTTAACAGTTATTTTTAAATATTGGTTGATGGCAAGCAACACACACGAAGACGTCAATTTAAGGTAAGAATAATTGCATGAAATACGATTAATTGGTATTGACAGTCACCAATTTGCGACAGTAAATGCTCCATGTTAAATACGAGTCTCGATATATATCTAAACCTATTGAGTGGGAAGATGGATGTTCCAGTCATTTATATATAAGCTTGTTGAGTATTTCAATCTAAAATAGGATGACTTAAATTTTGGCTGGGCATACTAAATGCTTAGTCTTGAATGTGATCAAAAGCAGTGTAATTATTTGCCGACAACAGTACACTGCATCCAGGAAGAACAATTTGGGATGAAGTTGTGCTCATGGTCTACACAAATAGACTTAAAGCCTTACTTCACCCGTCCTATCACAAGCAATTTTATGGTGATGGATTAATCTGCCGATAATTAATGCTTAGCGACCGCTAACACAGCACGAAACGCCCAGAACCCTCACTTGCCTTGCAAGGTAGCCCCTGAAGACGGCCTGAATCAAAGTAGCAGCATTGTTTCTGGCTCTGTCCAACTGCCCGAGTGCGCGTCGGCGCCAAGCACGCTGAATGGTGCGAGCCGCTTGAACGTGGCGTCGCCGACGGACGCCTTCCAGCTGATCAGCCAACTCCTGACGCAGAAAGACTTTCGAACGACCCATCTCAAACTCCTGACCCAAGTTTATCTGACTGGGGGATGCTAATACGCGATGTATATTCTTGAAAAGAGCATCGGCACGTTGCTTCAAGTCAGGAATGCTGGTGACTTTGTGAAAGGTTTGACGATCCAAAAGAGAGACGTAACTAAAGATAAGTGCGAAAGCACCAAAGTGAATCACCAATTTAATATCACCCAATTTAAGCTTTTGCCTCTCCCTGACCTCTCTGCTGGTTCAGAGGAAGCCAAAACAATTCGACAGTTTGTTGTCGTCGACAGCAAGTCAGCGTGCAATCACTGAAAAGTGCTCACCTCAATTTCCTAAGAAAATCTACTTTCGTATAACAGGTAAGTCAATGGGCGCATTTGATTTTGATAACTTTCTATTTCAATTAAAATTAATTCACGTGTGGCTAGTCAGAGCACCTTAAACAACCTCAAACATTTTAAAATATAGCTGAACTGGAATAGACAAAGAGTCACTTTATAATTTTTTTCTAAGTTTATTACCCTAAAGACGCAGAAAAAGCTCAGAAGTATCAAAAAGCAGGGTATTTTTTGCGAAAAAGTAAGTTGACACACGTTTTGAGTCATGTAATGGCGGACAAATAAGGGCTTAAAGTGATTTTAAAAATGTTTGACTGCCCTTTCTTAAACGGCTGTAAATTCTACTTTGACCAAGTAAAACACTGAAATAGTATACAAAATGGAGTTGTTTTATTGCGACGTTGAGATGCTACGGTGAAGATTATGGGCAGGAACAGGTAGACACACAATTTACCATAACAAATAAATACACTACTTAATGCTTGAAAAAATTCATGCATACCATGGATTTCGAACGAAACTTTGGTCTGGAACAGTTTTCTGGTGCATTTATTACCAGCTTATTCAGTAAGATAAAATTAGAACCTACCAGCAAGCCCTTTAGTAAAAAAAATTAGTAGCGATTTACGGTTATTCTGTAAAGTATTTACCAAAAAGTTGATTTCCGAAAGGCGTCCATGAACAAATATTGCTGAATTAAATACACAAAAGACCAAAGCTAAACCCAGATTTCTTTCAAAAAAAATGAGCGTAGCACAATTCCTAGTTCCAACGGTCAATTGAAATTGTTTACAGAAAATAAAATTTTAGGCCGTTATTTGGGTCATAAAAACGGGTAAATCGACGTGAGACCTGCACTTTTGGCAGCCGACATAATCAAATAACACCCTGTAACATTCTTACTGACGCTTATAAGTAACACTAGATTTTATTGATCCCTTCGCAGCTCTTTATTCTCCTAGTCAGCCAAGGGTTAATTTCAATTTCGTTCTTTCGGTTAGCAGTACTCCACACAGACAAACTCAGTACGATGTCTTTAAAATCAAAATTTATTGTATATGCCTGATTAGTACTTCCCAATCTGTTTTTACATTATTCAAATGTAGGATGAAGTTTGAGCTGCGATTGCTTTCTTTGACGTCGTTGACCTCAGGTCCACCAGAACGAAGGCACAGTGCAGAGGTGCTGTTCATGCCAAAGGCATTACTGGCGTGTTTACGCGCATTAATTTGCATTTAGAGTATTGCTGCCGATAAACTCACAAACTCACGCACACAATGAGCGTGCAATAGATGACGTCACTATTATGCAGCATATTAGTCAAGACACCAACGCAGTCACTTGTGTGAAATGAGTATAATTTCACACCTAAATACGCACTCATTCCAACTGAGCCAAGCTCAGGTACAAAGAAGCCTTGAGTATGGTCAGGCCTAAGCAAAAGCTCTCCAAAAGCAAAACAGCTCCATTGGTGGGCCCAACTGGCACACTTACCAAGTCCTTAATGAATCACACTGATAGATGCGTTAAATCTCTGCGACCTTGAACTTCTAAAGTTAACGCAAAACCACTATGCATTAATCTATTACCTACATAATTGAAGAAGTTTTGACGATAAAATACGATTTTCATTGAGTTGAGAAAAAATTAAAATAAATGTTTCTGCTGCTTGGGCCAATATAGACAAAACTCTTACATAAATATTAACAGTATTTGCGTACAAAGTCAAAATAGTTAAACAAAATAGTGAAACCCTATTAACAGAAAACGTAAACATGTGCCATAAAAATATCACCGTATTTCTCTTATTTTTTCACTGAAAACACACAACGATAAGTAAGAAATCAACATCTGCCAAAGGGTTAAAATCGTGTTAGGACTATAAAACGATTTAAAAAAAAGAGGATGATAAGGGCTGGTAATTCTTACCATTCTTTACGTATCCATGTTAATCACCTGTCTCAGTAACAATTTGTTCACACTGACACACGAGAATTTCTTTGGCAAAACATTAACGATGCGACACACTAGTGCGATGGCGAGTCTGTTAATCCCCCTGTACACGAAGCCATAATTCGAGAAGTTACCCGTTTTTCCTATGTCCAAATATCGTATTTCGCAAGGATGCTCTTGCTCATTCCTAATTTGCTACTTAATTATCATCAATAATTTTTGCTAGCTCATCATCAGAGAATTTACCAAACAGCGGAAGAATGCTTGAAAACGAAGCAGCATTTTATGTCCGTTTGCTTGGCATAACTTAGAAAGTAAACATCTGGCATTATGGCTAAAGTTTAAATGTTGCATAACCTTTACTTATTCCCTATTTTAATTACATTAGAAAGTTTTTCAAAGAAACCATCTTGTAATGCATGTAATTGCACTCAAAAGTTAACACTACTTTTTTCGCAAATGACAAGCAGATTAATCTTAACGGTGAAGGAGTACAATTAACACATCACTGGTGAAGAATGATAATCTACAGATTACATGTGAATATGTTATTAAGGTGTTTGTTAGATATCGATAATTGAAAATTATGGGAACAGCTTAATGGGACCGTTCTCAATTATTCAAAGATTTTGCTATTTTCCTAATTTCTAGTGAAATTACATCCTGTGAACACATTTTTGGTGGATTTCAATGAAACTTGCAAATTTTCCTTATAAAGGAGTGTGTTAGCAACTCACTTTTGCACGAATTGTTGGTAGGGGAGGCGAACAGGGAATCCAGAGCTGCGAATTCTCACGGTTTCCAGAATACCGATGTAGCGCAGTTGTTCCATGACCATGGTATCCTCAAAGGTCATTGGCCGTTTTTCTGGATTCGGTTTGATACATCGAACAAACCAGGGCCGCTTTCTATAAGTGAAACACAATTTTAGTGTTCAAATCGACGGGGCATTTGACAGATGCTAATAGGTTAATTGTTAGAATGATGCAAGTCTGCAAAAGAAAGATAGAGCACTTAATGAACATTTCCTTTCTACATCAAACTGCTGCCTGAGTGACTTGCAACGCTCTTGGACGAGATGGTTAAAGAAATAGTGACGAACCCTGGATCGTTGGAAGCATTTACAGTTTACGTTTATGTAATCAATGCGATCTTCGCTCGGATACACGTGCAGTGAAGTGCGCTTGATGCCACTCCTAGATAAATGCCTTTTCGATGCATCTGCTTACGTTTTCATTGTTTCCATCAAAGCCAGGAGAGAAGTATGGAAGCTGTCTAGAAGGGTGGGAGAGCGACCAAACCGAGATCCCGGAGCACCGATGGGGCCGCGCCTGTTCGGGTTAGCTGGGATAAACATTGCGGCGATGGATTGTACACCACTGTCACAAAGCATGTCCAGTGCCTCAGGACGAATCCTATCACGATTCTTTTCAACCAGCCCATCCGTCTGATTTAAAATAGAATAAGGTAAAAACATAAATAAATGTCCACTCTGAAGAAGTTAATCGACTGGACCTGGAGCAAGGCACGGCGACATGCAGATTCGAGTTGTGACGCCCAGGCCAACGCCAGCCCAAAGGGCTTCAGTAAGGTTAAGTGTAGCTCTTAATTAGAACCTTGTCCCTGGAAATTTACGGAATACAACATATTGAAGCGTTTTGGGTATGTATTTTAGGTATTTGTTGTCACTTCTTAAATAAAACAACTCAAACATATTTGTAATAAAAGCAAACCTAGCTTTACAAGATTGCAAATAAAATAGAACATACTAAGGGTTCTGGAAGTCTTTGGGAATTTATTTACAAGTGATCAATATTAACGCTACCAGAAACTCGAATAAAACGGAGGTGATGGAGGGATGTGAAATTAAAAAGAATAACGTCATTGGATAATTGCAAACGTACGTGCCCGATTTGCAGCCAACTTAACTAGAACACATTTTCACTG